GGCAAGGTGAGTGCGGGCGCTGCCGGGTCCCGCCGCCACAGCGGCTCCGGCGCCTCACCCGCCRCCCCCTGCTCTTCCCACAGAAAGGAGAGACCGTTAAGCGGATACGGGAGCAGGTAGGTGGCCCCGCRGGCTCCCCTGGGATGCAGCGGGAAGGGAGGGCAGGGAGCGGGGAACAGGGTCCCGGCCGCCCCCGACGGGCGCRTGCCGCCGTCCCCAGAGCAGCGCCCGCATCACCATCTCGGAGGGCTCCTGCCCCGAGCGCATCACCACCATCACCGGCTCCACCGACGCCGTCTTCCGCGCCGTCTCCATGATCGCCTTCAAGCTGGAGGAGGTAGGGAGCAGTCCCCGCTGCGCTCCGGGCCGTCGGTGCCTCGGTGGCCCCACGCGGCGCCTCGCTCCGCAGGACCTGGGGGACGGCGGCGCGCCGGGCCGGGCGCCGGTGACGCTGCGCCTCGTCATCCCCGCCAGCCAGTGCGGCTCGCTCATCGGCAAGGCGGGCGCCAAGATCCGCGAGATCCGCGAGGTGAGGGCGCGCGGCGGCACGGCGGGATGGCGGGATGGCGGGATGGCGGGCTGGAGGGATGGCGCCCGCCGCCGTGTCCCCGCAGAGCACCGGGGCGCAGGTGCAGGTGGCCGGCGACCTGCTGCCCAACTCCACGGAGCGGGCGGTCACCGTGTCGGGCGGCCCCGACACCATCGTGCAGTGCGTGCGGCAGATCTGCGCCGTCATCCTGGAGGTACCGCCGTGCCCGGCCCTCCATCCGCCTCATCCCACGCGTGGGATGTCCCGAGAGCGCCCGGCCTCGCCTCTCACCCCTCCTTGCCTCCCTTTCCAGTCGCCTCCGAAGGGGGCCACCATTCCCTATCACCCYGGCCTCTCCCTGGGCACCATCCTGCTCTCTGCCAACCAGGTAAGGGGTGGCAGGGTGGCCACGGCGGGGTCCCCACGCAGCCGCCGCTGATGCCCGCATCTCCCCAGGGCTTCTCCATGCACGGCCAGTACGGCAGCGTCTCTCCCGCGGAGGTGAGTCCCGCGCCGGCGGCACCGGCGGGTGAGGAGCGTCCTGCCGTCCTTCCTCACCGGCTCCTCTTCCTCTTCCTCATGCACGGGCAGGTGACAAAGCTGCAGCAGCTGTCGGGACACACGCTGCCCTTCGCGCCCCTGGCGCCGCCGGCCTCCGTGGTGCCAGGTGAGCGCCTCCCGGACGCCAGGGCCCCTCCGGGTTGGGCGTGATGGGGACGGAGCTGCTGGGGACGCCTAACCCTGCCCCGTCTCTCTCCCCAGGGCTGGACRGCAGCTCCCAGAGCAGCTCCCAGGAGTTCCTGGTGCCCAACGACGTACGTGCGGGGCTGGCAAGGGGGTGGGCATGGCGGGGGGGTCCTTCCTTGGGGACACCGCCACCCGGCCATCCCGGGCATCTCCCCCGGGAGAGCCGTTCCCTGCCCTCCCGGTGCCCGCCTCCGTGTCCGCGCCGAGGGGCACCGCTGCCCTCGTCACGCCGCCCCTGCCCTCGCAGCTCGTCGGCTGCATCATCGGCCGCCACGGCAGCAAGATCAGCGAGATCCGGCARATGTCGGGCGCCCACATCAAGATCGGCAACCAGACGGAGGGCTCCAGCGAGCGGCACGTCACCATCACGGGCTCGCCCGTCAGCATCACCCTGGCTCAGTACCTCATCACCGCCTGGTTGGTGCCCCCCATAAAGCAGCTGGGGGGTGGCAAGGGGGTGACATCTCCCCAGYGTCACCCGCAGTGTTGGGCGAAGCCAACGCTGAGTTGGCGGGTCTGCGATGGGGACGGGTGCTGCATGTTCCTGGAGGGAGGTGGGTGATGGACCTCATGCCTCCAGGTGGGCATCCCTCATCCCTCATCCCTCCGTCTTGCTCTGCCAGCTTAGAGACGGCCAAATCTACCTCGCCGGTGCCGCCGGGCGCCGGCTCCGTGGACCTCAGCATGGGCTTCCCGCAGGCGCTGCCGCCCGTCGCGGCGCCGCCGGCGCTCCTGGGCGCGCCCTACGCCATCTCCCTCTCCAACTTCATCGGCATCAAGCCCGTCTCCTTCCTGGCGCTGCCGCCGTCCTCCGCCGCGGCGCCCAACGGCACCGCCGCCTACACGACCAAGATCTCGGCGGCCAACGGCGCCAAGAAAGGCGAGCGGCAGAAGTTCTCGCCCTACTGAGCCCCTCGGACGGGGGGTGAAGGAGCCCGGGGGGCCCTCCAGGGATAGAGGCCCCCCTTTATCCCAAGGAACCCACCATCCCTCAGCAGGGGAAGGGAGGAGAGGGCTTTGGGAGCCGCCAGGGATGCAGCGGCTTAGGGGCGTCTCTGGACCTCCCTTTCCCTGGATCTGCGCTGGTGGGAAGGCTCCCACTTGTCCCCCCGTCCTCCCGGCAGCCCCACGGGAGCGCCRGCCCCGGCGGGCTTGGAAAACGCTGTACATATAAGTCTATATTTTTTCCTCCTTTGTAACTTATCGACGGTTTAATAAAAAGATAAGATTTGCCAGAAAACATCAAGAAAAAGGAGCCGTGCCCCGTGCCCCATGCCCGTCACCGCGGGTGGGYGGGCGCCTCCCGCGTCTCCGCTCCCTGGGGACGGGGGGATCACAGACGGGACGGCGCCGCGGGGTACCCGGCTCCTCGCCCCGTGTGTTAGTGGAGGTTAGAGGAGGCTGGCGGTGCGGGGGTTAGTGGGGTTACTGGGACCACTGGCTGTGAGGAGCCTTCCCCGTGGTCCATGGTCACCGGGGTCCATGGGTCCAAGTGCAGGGACCCCMTCCCCTGCCCTCGTGTCAGGGTCCTTCAGCCGGCCGGCTTGGCCTCCACACGCAAGAGCCTGTCCAGTTGAGGTGACCGGTCCTCTGGTGAGGCCAGGGATGGTCCCAGCGCCAGGCCTCGGGAGATGGAGATCCCCCAACTGTGCTGCCTTCTCCCGGGGGAAGAGAACGGGCAGGCGCCTTGGTCTGCAATAGACGCTCGGAGAGGAGGCAAAGCCTGGACACGGACCCCTCCACATCCACTGGGATGGGGTGTGGATGGAGCCAGTTCAGGTGGATGAAGCCAGTGCCACGAGGACTCGCGCTCCTCCTGCCCCRCGTGGTGGGACGGGGCTCCCCGCTCCTCAGCTGCTCTCCTCGGGCACCTGACCCGGGATGGGACAATCCGCCCCGCTCTGCTCCAGCCTGTTCCTGGGGCCGGCGCAGCCGGCGCGGGGCTCCAGCGTGCAGGTGGCTCTCTGGAGGAACTGCAGGAAGTTCTCCTGCACGGAGGCCTCGGACACAGCGAGACACAGCTCCTGCCCCAGCGGCCGGTGCACACAGCTGCGCCCGAGCCTGGCCAGCTCCTCGCGGATCTGCCGGTTCAGCAGCCCGTAGAAGAAGGGGTTGATGGCGAAGGAGGAGTAGGCGAGCCAGGTGACCACCATCTCCCCACGGCCCTCGCCCGCCGCGGCGGCGGCGGAGATGGAGGAGTGCAAGTGGAAGGCGAAGAAGGGCAGCCAGCAGCACAAGAACTGGCCCACGATGAGGAGCAAGGTGAGGATGGCCTTGTTGCCCGCCAAAAGGCGCTCCGGGCTCAGCCTGGGCAGCGGCAGGTTCCTGGTGGTGGCGATGGTCAACCGGCTGGCGAGGGAGTCGGAGCGGGGCCTGGGGGCGGCCGCCCGCGCCGGCCCGGGCACCTGCTGCAGCGACGCCGTCCGCGCCACGCGGTAGATGCTGCAGTAGACGGCGAAGATGATGATGGTGGGCAGGATGAAGCAGGCAAYGCTGAAGAGGACCACGAAGACCTTCTTGTGGGCTCCCGGGCTCCAGTAGACCGTGCACCGGCTGGCGCTGGTGGCCCCGTTGCCTTCTGGCCAGCCCACCAGTGCCAAGATGGTCATGAGGGCAGATTTGACCCAAACGAAGGCCACCCCGGCCACAGCCAGCCTGATGGTCATCTTGACCTCATACCTCATGGGGTGCACGATGTAGTAGTAGCGCTCCACGCTGATGATGGAGATGGTGAGGATAGAGGCGCTGATAAAGCAGACGTTCAGGAAGATCAAGGTCTGGCACTCGGCAATGCTGTAGATGACCTTGTTGAAGTAGGAGGAGCTCGAGATGATCCCCAGGGGCATGAGGAAGATGGCGGAGAGGAGATCAACCAGGCAGAGATGGCAGACAAAGACGAACTTCCTGAGGAGGGGAGCCTTGAGGATGACGAACATCACCACCGCGTTGGCCACCAGCGCGGTGACCGTGAGCAGGATCATGCAGAGAAGACCCGCCACCTCCTGGAGCGCGGGCTGCTCCGCGGCAGGGAGCTGCTCGAGGCCGTGCGTGGTGTTCAGCCCCATTGGGGTGGCCATGCCCCGGGAGGGCTAAGCCAGCAGCTCCTGCACCTGAGCGGCACGAGCTCTTTGCCCRCGTCCCTTGGACCAGAGCGCTGCCACGAGCGTGATCACCATCTCCTCCACCGGCAGGCTCCTCATCTGGTGAGGAGGGGAGAGCATCGTGAAGGAGAAGCGGCAAACTGAGCAAAAGCCACAGGGGGACCCGGCAACGACGTCCAAGCTGACCAGAGCGCCCCAAAGACGCCGGAGCAAGGAGAGGTCCCGGGGAGGTCCCCTGCGAGCCCAGCGCCAGAGACCAGCCCGTCCTTTGGCTTGTGTAGGACACGTCCCTGGGGACACCCTGGGACCCACACCAGGTTTCGAGCCCTTCCCCTTCTCGCTGCTGCTTGCAGAACGGAGGCAGTCCCCAAAGAGCAGCGAGAGAAGCCCCAGCAGAGCCYCCATCCCCGGTCCCCATCTCCAGCAGCCCTCCCTGCTCCTGAGCTTCCCGGGGGTGTCACCAGGTACCTGCGCTCCACAGGACACGATGGATGCTCCCCTTCTCCCGGGACGAGCCCTTTGAGCCGGCATGGCTCCCGGCGCCGCGGCGGGGTCCCCGGCGCCGTCCCCGCTCCTCGTTAGTCACCCTGTTTGCGCGCGGCGGCGGGTGGCACCGGCTGTCACTCGCGGGCTCTGCCTCTCTGGGAGCGCGCGCCGGCAGCTGCCGGCTCCCAGCAGCGCCGGGGGCTCCGACGGGGGGCACCGGGACGTCCCTTCCGTGCGCCGCGGGCACGGGGCCGCCGGGCACAGCGYGTGCCCCAACGCGGGCACGGAACGGGGTGACGTCCAGGTGCCTCCCTGCGCGCTGTGCTCAGCCTGGTCCTTGTGCTGGGGTTCCTCATCCCAGGGCTCGTGGTGGGACCCAGGGGAGGCGTGTGGCATCTCCTGGCCTCCAGCGTGCGTCCTCCTCGCTGCCCCTCCAGCTGCCACCCCTGCGCGGCCCCGTGCCCACGTTGGTGGCCAGCACCCTCCCTGCTCCGTGGTCGAGCTCCTGCGCTGCCAGCCCGAGCTCCGGCGCTTTGGTTTTCAGCTGCAGCGCGAGGGAACCTCTGGCCCCACGGCCRCCCGTCACCCGCGCCGGGGTGGCCACCAAGAGCAGATCTCCGTGTATCCAGGCGGGAGCCACCGGGATGCCCAGTGGCCACCTGGGGCACCAGCAAGGGGAGCTGGGCTTGTGCCAGCCCAGTGGGCGCCCCCGAGAGCTGAACCCCCATCCTCCAGCCCCMTGGGCAGAGGGAAGGGATCCCAGGGGTGCCCGGGTGGCCGAGGGTGAATGGGTCAGTGCCCCCAAAGCGGCAGCATCAGGACATGGTGCAGCCCCCACGCCAGGGCAGATCAACCAGGGTGCCCCATTGCAAGACAGGAACGGGTGACCCGTCCTGCTCACCTCTTCCTCGGGCCCCCTCCCAGATGTCCAGGAGCTGGGACCCATCTGGGAGGAGATCCGGGAACCAGGATCTGGTTCCCATCTGCGCAATGTCGTTTTCCATCAGCTGCGAGAGAGGGAGCCAGAGAAGCAGAATGCCGGTGGGGATGCGGTGGGTCCCGCGGTGATGCCCGCTGGCATCCCGGCCCGTCCAGCCACGGAGCGGGATGGGCGCCAGGGAACGGCTCGTTGTCCCTGCTGCTCCGGGCACGGGGGCTGGGAGGGGGCTGCGCTGCCCCCACGCTGGCCGTGGCCGTGGCCACCCCGTGCGCCCCTGCTGCCAGGGCATCACGCGGAGCCCCTGGACCACGCTGCGGGTGACGCTCCGGCACTGACATCCCCCTCACCCAMGGGCCCTCCCTGGTGTCCCAGCTTCAGCCGCAGGACAGGACCCGCTCCTTGCAGACCTCGGCCCCATCCGCATCACCCCAYGGGCACACGCGCAGACCCCCAGCCTCGCCGTGCCCCCCAGGGGACCAAGGCGTGGGCTGCGAGGCCCGAGAGGTGGAGGGCTCTGCGTGAGCTCCCCTTTCCAGGCTGGTGCCCTTCTRCTCCCTCAAGGAGCTTCGACTCCCCCAGATTCATCCCGCCACCCAAATCTCTGCCCACGGGCTGTTCCAGCTTGCACGGCCCTGCCCGTGCCCTGAGCTCACCCCAGTGCCCAGGAGACTTCTCCAAGTTCYGCAGCTCCAAGTTCTCCATGTCTGAGGGAGCCAGGGTGCAGTGCCAGGTGCCACCATCCTCCTCCCCATCCTTGGATTTGATGCCTCTGCCCAAAGGCTGCTCCTTGCCRGGGCTTTGCCCTTGGAGGCCACGGCTGAGGGGCACCTGCATGCCCAGCTCTGCCCCTGCGGTGTCCCAATGCGGCTCCCCAGGCTCCTCCTGGTGCCCTTCCTCATCCTCTTCCGTCTCTTCGGAGCTCACTTCCCTGCCCTGCCTTTCCCTCTGTGCTCCATGGCTTTCCACACAACCGGCTGCCCCCCTGGTGCAAACGGCCCCCCGTGCAAGACACCAGGGCCCATKAGAAGCCCCTGGTCTCCGCTCTGCGGCTTCATCCAGTCTTCAAAAGCTGCAAGTCCCGCCAAGAGCGCAGGCTGCTCGAGGGGCAATTAGCCCTCCTCGTCCCACCTGTGTTAATTAAGTGTAATGCAAGCTGTTGTGGCTGCTTTAATTGCCTTTTGGTAACTAGCAGGCTCAGAATGTCCCTATCGCTTCATTTTTCTTGCTGCTACTACTAATAAAGAATTTTTCTATCCTGKTTTTTCGTAAAATATTTTGCAGTATTTTGCATTTTCCCTATTTTGCATTTCCTCTATTATCCAGCTACACAAAGGACAGTCCCGAGACATATTAATTTCCCATGTGGAATTAAGGCTKGCTGTTTATTTTAATTAAGGGCGAGGCGATCAGGACTGACCGAATTTCATGGTGACCTCTGTGCATCTTCCAATGGCACCAAGTTTTCAGGGTTTACTCTTCGTGCTCCTTAGGCTTCAATTTTCACCTGTATTTTCCAGCATCGCTGCTCTTCTCACCACCTAGGAGCCTCACCTTGTCCTAAACAGGGCAAAATAGAAGCTCCTTCCTATAGATTCTTTATAGGAATTCGTTATAGAGTCTTTATAGGAATTCTTTATAGGATTCTTTATAGGAATTCTTTATAGGATTCTGCATGCACAGACCGAGGACGTGGGTAAAGCTGGATCCATCACAGCCACAAGCACCTGAAGCGAAATCCTGCCAGCAAAAGCCTCAAGAGGACAACTCAAACCTGGTTAATCCAAAACACTTTGCAAACTATTTTTATTCAAATTAAAAAGACTCAGGTAAACAAACCGATGGTACATACATGTTATAAACCTGGTTATCAGCTTAACTTTGAAGGGGGGGGTACAGAATTTAAGGAAAAGCCAAGCGTGAATGAACCAGGTCCAAAACCATGCCAGATTATCACCAACAAYGTGTTGAGCTTTTACACAAACAGTAAATTCTCACGGAAGGGAAGGACTGAGAAAGGGAAACAAAGAATAAGGGGGCTCCAAGGAGGGGGTTATGAAAATCCCGGTCCTAGATTCATCTATTTTCCCCACTCTCACAGAAACCAACCATTTCCCATACGTACTTTTATTTTAATATGAAAGTTTCATTTGCTCCCATACAATGAACGGCGGCGGGAAACAAGAGAGGGATTCAAATATCCAGAAAGAGAAAGAAACGGGTAAGACAGCTAGACAGACACTTCTTTTTTAAACCAGAGTCAGAAAAAGAAAAAAAAAAAAGCTTCTTTTGCTGGTTTTGAGTTCTAGACTGTAGCCATTATATCCTAAATTTCACTGCAATCGACTGAAATGCCTCCCATATCCAGAGACATGATTTGGAAATAAATAAACGACGCTAAAAACAGCTGATTAGGGCCAGCCCAGCGGCTCTGTGCTGCCTTACGGGAGGAGCCGGGATTTTTCCACAATTCCCGGCTTGATCCCGGGCTGGACAGAGCGGCCCAAGTCGGGTCTCAGCTCCTGGGGTGGGAGAGAGCCAGTGCTGCAAGCCTGCCCATCACTGCCCTTCCGATAAATTAAGCGTTTCCCTTCCACGGGCGCTTCCAGTCCTCCAAAGAAAATAAATAAAACAATAACTTAACTAAAATCCAGCCCAGGTTCTTTGGTGTAATTATTATTTTTTTTTGTTAACGTTGAGAAATAAGAGAATCTGGTGGTATTAGTACAATCCATGATGGTCCCAAAGGCTCAAAACTAGGGATTGCTGCTCGATTCTGTTCCATATCCCGTCTGTGCAGCTAAATACTGCAAGGTCTGTGGTGATCCAGATACACTCCAAGAGGATGCTGTATATATGGGGAAGGTCTAGGGCTATTCCCTTTCTACTTTATTTAATAAATTTGGTACTTGACCAAGGCCAGTAAAGAATTTCCGTACCGCAGGAGAGTTCAAAATCATAATTTCCCTGCATGTCTCTTATCTCCTTCCCATGCATTGCACGTCTGACCTTACTGTCCTTAAGTGCCTGCTTGTAGTTAGAGGGTTTTCCACACAATGCCTAGAAGTTTGGAGTGGGAGATGAAKAGGAATTCACCAGGATTATTAAATAACAGTTTACACCCTCAGTAGTATAAATAACATCACTGAAACAGAATCCAAGGTATCTAGTACTTGAATAAAATCTTTAACCTCCTGTCAAATGTATTTCTTTTGTGCTGCTTTGTGCATTTTAAAATATAGTTCTACGTGATGAACATTTCCAGCAGTCAGATGAAAGCACGTCGGTAAATCAGTTTTCTCTTGGACTGTGTTGCAGCAACCATGTCCTTGTCATCAATTGGTCGAATTGAYACTGTTTTCTCAGTTATGTAATGAATTAAGAACTAATAAAAACTTCCTCCTTTTCTGTAAAATGAAGTGCTATGAAAGGATTTACCTTTAAACAAACAGTTTTGCAGTCCAAAAGGTTGGTTGCTTGTGAGGACCGGCAAGGCCTTAGCAGAAGATATTCACAAACTCAAAATTTGGCAAGAAAATTCTGTACATACCTCACTAATTAAAACAAGTGAAAACAAAMMAAAAAAAAMCCCACACCACCAAAGAACTTTGAAGGCTTCAATGCAAGTTCTCTTCTCCAACCTACCAGATACGCTGAATTTACACGTATAGCAAGCACTTGGTTAAAGACAGATTTCTGCACCAAACTTCTCTCCATCTGCCCTGCAAAACTTCCATTAAGGCGAATCAAAACACTTAAGGAAAGCACACACGGACACCCAGCTACACCTAACCATTAAGAGAATATGTGGGAACTTAAATCCACTGCTTTACTTCACAGACCTCCCTTCTCTAACTTACCTTCCAAGACCTAACCAGATGCCAAGCTCCGCAGGGCTCCTGCAAAGGTCCATGCAATTGCTCAGGGAACCAGCTTCCCATTCCCCYCCGGAGCAGCTCGGGCTACAGAAAACATTTCACCTCTCAAGGGCATGCAAAGCACGTGGGATTTGGTACTAATTTAGGATCATAAYGGCCTTGGCTACACAATTAAATACCTGGACAGGACTGGACAACGATAGCACTTGGGACACCCTTGTCCCATCCGCRCCAGCACTTCCATGATCGCTGTGGTTCATTCTATTGACTTTAAATTTGATTTTTTTTTCCCTAGGATCAACGCACCCCTTACCTTTAGCTTCATTTCAAGAACTCCTCCCTGCTCACATCCAAGTGAGCTTTCTGCTGGAAGTGGCTAGCACACACAAACACATGTACACACATTCTTCTACGATGTAAACTATGACTAATTTCACATTCCATTGTACCAATCTGCAAATACTTTTTGTTTGCTTTTTTTTTTTTTCCGCTTTTTTATAAAAACGATGGCATCAGATTCTCAGCAATAAAATATAAGAAAGATGAATCCTYGACTACACTCAACCAATTATGAAATCGCCTTTCAAACAAAGGAAACATATGCAAAAATCCGTGTATTTGATAAAGTCAACTTAATATAACAAAAAGTGGAATATGCTTATTAAAAGTGTCCTTATATAAAAATGGTCTTGCAATGTACAGTAAAATGCAATACAAATTATCGTCGGTTTTCTTTCCCCAACCCCGTAACTAAAACGGCTCTTGTTCCACAAAACTCCTGCTAAGCCGGGCTCAGAGCAGCCTTTCCTGCCCTTAGACGTTTTCTATGTTGTAGGCCTGGCGGATGTTGAGGGTGTCTCGCAGCATGAGGTCGCGGAGGCGCCACAAGGCATCGGCCATGGTGGTGTGAGCCCCTTTACTCTTGAGCCAGTGCGACGGCAGGCGGCTCTCCTGCTCCTTCGAGAGGTGCACGTCTCGTCTCCGTGCTGCAAAGCCAAGAAATGGAGCAGTTACCTGCTGCTTTCCTTACATTTGTCCTGCCCCTGGTATTTAGCAGCCTCGTTAGTAAAAGGGGAGCATCGTTTTACAGTGTTTCTACTGCTTTCTGGTCTCTGTATTTGAGGCCACGCAAGGGATTCGTAGATTTTTGTAACATTAATGGAATTAGCATGCTGATAACACAGCGATAACGCTCCACCTGGTCCAATTTGCTTTAATTACTGCTTGCACGGATGCATTTTATTAAACAAGCAGATTCACTCAGCATTACTCACAGGAGTTGAATAATGGAGTTGAATGAATAACGAAGAGGAGTTGAACGTACGGACGTGCACGAGGCAGGGGGTTCCCYGAGGCCCCCTCCGAGCCCCAAGCCTCACCTGCCAGGGTCTGGTCCCACTTGCTAATGCTGCTGGATTCCGCRCTGAGCCCCTCGATGTACTTCAGATAGGCCTCCGAGTGCAGGAGCCGCTGGGTCTTGGGCGGCGGCGAGACGAACATGGGCGTCGTGGGCTGCTGCAGGACGGGCTGCGGCGCCGCGCTCTGGCCCGGGTACGGAGGGGGAGCCTGCTGGCCCGGCGGGCCCAGGATTCCTATCTGCAGGCACAAAGCAGGCGGGAAAATCAGCCCGGGAACAGTGGAAACGGTTCACAGGCCTTTAATGCAAGGAGGGAGGGAGCACTGGCAGGGTTACGCTGCAGAACGCTGGAAGCTGGTTAGTTAATAACACTTAATTCAGGAAGTAGAGGCATATCCTACGAGGGCAGGACATGGAATGGTCCTAAATATCTCTGCAGACATTCTATTTATGCCCTTCCTGGGAAAGGCTATGTGCATCCCAATGAATCTTGACCAAAATGCTGTTTAGATGCTATTTTGGCGTCTTACGGCCTCAAAAATCATGCAAAAAATGCTTTACCTGCTGTCCGAACGGACTTGCTCCTGGCGCTGGAGTGCCTATCATGGGGGAGACGTTTTGCCCTATAACACCTATATTCCAAAATACAAACAAACAAAAARAAAGAATTAGTCTTATTTCAGAGCAGCGTCACCTACTGCTTTTTTAATTAAAAATAAAAAAGGTTTCACATTAGCGYTTTAAATACTTTCAAGCAGCTGTGCTACATTCAGATATCCCCATCTACCCCAGTAAAAAAACAAAAAACACTTCTAAAGTTTCCGAATGGAAAAAAAATAAAGTCAATATGACACTGTTCAACACTCACATGTAGCCCATTGAATTCATTTAATTAAAGAAATGAAAACAGAAATCTTCTCTTTTTTTTTTTTGGATGTTTAGTTATTGTCTAACTAAATCGTTCAGTTTAGAATATACAACTTCACCTTGACAGAACCTCCTTGGAATCAAAAAAAAAAAAAAAAAAAAATCTATCACCATTTCAGTCTATCACCATTTCAGTGTGTTCAAGTTTACATTCACTGCAGGAGAAAGTGAAAACATCACAAAAAACCACATCTATTATATGTTTTGTTATCACAAAAAGCCTAAACTTAAGTAGTACTATATATACGCMCACACAAGATAAAAAAACCATTTGGAATAAACTTCCAAAATAAAGAGTTTTATCCCCGTTGTGTGGAGTGCAGCAGATGCCAAGCCCCAAACAACAAAATACGGATTTAAATGAGAGTCATGCWGCTCCTAAGAGCTTACATGCAGATGCCCAGGGCTGAACAAATGAGGGCAACTTCTGCTGTTTTTCCTTCTATGCCACTTGTTAAAATGAGGTATCSTTTCTTGGGAAAACTGAAAATTAAATTCATTCTTCCTAAGGGTTTTATTTTGCACACGGATTTCTGTATCAGTGATCAGAAGATGCGACGCTGYGCTAGATATACTGAGGAATCTAATGAATGAGCCTCAGCATGTGCAACCTTTATTTTAAAAGCACACGTGCCAACAAAATGCCCTTAGCAGGGCTGGTAACACACGGGGTGTGCTGTGGCAAGGGTATTTTCGTGGTACCAAGTGCTGAGGTTTGGAGGGCAGGTACCCTCAGCCCTACCCCGCACTACCCCTGTGCTCCTCTGGATCCTCTCTCATCTCCCACGTGGCACGTTCTCCAGGTGGAAAAATAAATATCCACCCTGCAGAAGTCGTGCAGCGCCCTGGGGTCCCTTTCCTGAACAAATATAGGCTGCTGTTGTGTTTAAATATCACTGCCTTGTGAGTTGGAGATGCACTCGCAGACAYGTTGCTGTTCTCCTGACACTGCAGTGAATCTCACACACCAGTGAAGATGCAAGTAGGATACCTRATGCTGATGGATTCAAAATAATAATAAAGCAAGCAAACAAACAGTTTACATASAGGTATCGAGTCCTAACAGAGCTTCTGATCAACATGGTTGGRAATGAGGCAGGGGCAGGCAAACAGGATACCAGTTTTTGCCTATGGATTAACAGTTTAACTGCTGAACACGTGGGATACACCTCATCCACGTGAGATATCAGAGGTGAAAAAAATCCAAATGATCAGCAGATAATAGGATGATAAGGTAGATAACCATTTTTCCCCCCATAAGAGGGATGTGTTACTGGCTTTAAGCCACTAACACTGAAAAAAATACTCATGAGCTGTCACAGTGCTCATTCAGCTCAGCATTCAATAAGAGTTGGAAAAGAAAATATCAAAGGTGCACTAAATATACTACCAAAAATCAGTGCAAAATTTGGCTACGATAATATAGGGAGGTCACGTTACCCCCACAGTTCTGATTACTAATTTATCTTAAAGGTTCAATCTGAACACTTGTTCTTAATAATAATGTATTAGGCTATTGATATAAATCAGAAYGTCTACCTTGCTTAAAGGCAATCCACTTTGACCTCCTCCCTGTGGCCAAGAGGTCTTAAATGACTGCATTCATTTAAGTGCAGTGTGAATACTGGAGAATATTAACACGAGGAAGGAGTTGCAAGTCTTATTTTAAGGCGTATGGASGCAATTCAGGTGATAAAGGAATGAATGGGCTGATTTCAGCTTTTCAGACCTCTGATAAGCTCCATTCTCAGGTGTTTGGATGGAGCAGCACCACAGTCTGCGGCACGTGCTGTTGCCAACGGCACCCGTTTGCCTGCACCTCACACAAGCAGCAGCTCTACACAAACCTGCAACGCTCAGAAACCACCCACTGAGCCAGGACCGAGCCAAGCTGTGGAGAACAAGGGGGTTAAAACGGCGACAACACGAAAAATGCAACAAGGAGCGAATGAGGATGAGGCTCTTACCGGGTGGTGGGATGCCCGGGATGCCTGGCATACCTGGTGGAAGTTGGTGGGGTGGAGGCACCCCTGGGTGAAGTGGCTGCATGCTGCCCATGCTAACAATGCCATCAACTGGGCCCTGCAAAGGTGGCAGCACCGGTGGATAGCCACTTATCATGCCTTGAAGGACACAACAAATTTCAGACATGCATCAATAACATGCAACATGGGCTACACAGTAAAACATGCACTATCCACAAAAAAAAAAAAAGGCACCTTTAGTACGGCAAGGCGATACTATAATTAGTGTCTTGCAAAAAGAAAGCCAACCAAAAAATTGAAAATGATAAAGTTATCGATATGAACCACTGCCCTTCTGATGAATTAGTATTTGGCGGATTTGTATGGTCCTCGCGGGGCAGAAATGCTGAATGTTCAGACATGTTAACACAAAGGATCAATTCAGCCACAATTAAACGTTACTAACGCAAGCAATTTTAACGCGGCTTAAAGCTCTGCCATCTGCATACAAATCACGAGCACGACCCTAACTGCACAAGTTTTACACACAGCCCTGCTTTGTAAGACAGCTCTGATGAAACCTGAACGGAAAAAAACCTGCATTTTTCTGCACTGCATTTGCAAAATTAACATGTAAAGAGACTACTACATCCTACTTACAGCTAAAAGCTGTGATTTTTTAAATTATTATTCTTACTAAACCACGTGCACTGTAAAGGGAGTAACACAAATTATAAACTGCCAGGCTGCAGTGACTTCTCCTCTGGTCCCTGACTGAAGCAAAGGGCTTAAAAGAGCACTCAGATCCCCTCACAGCATTTCACTGTCAATATTTTCCATGTGTTTTAATAGGAAAAATACAGATAAAACAGTATTGTGCTGCTGCTCATTATTTATTATGCGAGTGAAGAGGATTCAAAGCTTATTCTCCTTTCTAGCCAGGTTTGCTGCTGTCCATTAAGTGAAACTAGACAACATGTGGGCAGTATCTTCATGAGGTCCTAGACCTTTTAGCTTGCTTGTCCCTCCCCGCCGCCCCAGCACCGCTCTGCTTTCCTCCCTGCTCGTTGGCTTGAATGGAGATGTTGTYAGAGAACCAAGGAAGGAGCTGGAAAGACAATGAAGAGATGAGAGAGGACAGGAGCAGGTCTGGAGAGAGGAGAGAAATGCAGGTAAGAGAAATGCTGGAGATTCGAGAGTCTGCACCAAGGTATCATCTACAGTGTCTTTGTCATGCTCTAAATAAGGGCTGGAAACGTTCAAAAGAGAGATTTCTGGAATAAGAAGGGCTGGAAACCTGCATGAGCTGTGGCTGCGTGGACCTCAGAGKCAACACAGGCCAGGGAGCCTCCAAGCACAAGCTCCATCTGGCAGCCGCTGAGGAAGAGCTACCAGGTGAGAAGCCTCAAGTGCCAAACTTGACCTGGGCAATGGAGAGATGAAGGACTGACCTCCCTCAAGGCACCTTCTTGCATTACACAAGACAGCTACGTGAATGCTTGAGTAGCTTTTGGGCATCTATTTAAAGCATCTGGCAACTCAGCTGTACCTCTTTATAATCCTAGTAAAATCCATGTTTCTAACAACAACAACAAAGAAGGAATCAGTCCAAACAACCCTACCGTGCTCCTCCTGCACCCTGGGACTTCTCCTGCCCCTGAGCTGCAGTTACATCCTCAATAGATTTACAAACCTTGCTGAAGTCCGTAGAGGAAAGGAAACCAAAACCGACCTGCCTGGGGTCAGCCACAAAAGCTTCTTTCCACATTCACAAGTTAAATATTTACTGCAGGTATCTACTGAATGAACAGCAGAGTCTCCAGGAGAAAGTGGTTCTTGTAGCTCATCCCAAGGTCACACAGCAGCCACTTTAACATCCCACCTCCAAGTTTCCCCTTGGATTTGACACTAGTCAACACTGGCGATCTATGCTCAGCAGAGATTTGTCAGTTCTTTGGAATTACCTGGAATTCCTCCTCCCCCCCCTCCTTTTTTTTTTAACCAAAACAACACGAAATTAAATAAGCTTTTGCAACACCTACGTATACAAGCAGCTGGAGCACTGCCTGCAAAAAGAAGTGCAAAGTGCATCTTGCAAAGTGCCAGGTGACCTCGCTGGCCCTAAAAAGAAATAAAAGTGCCGGGATGAAGCAGTTTTGAATAGGGGGAAAAGCAGGACACTGCAGCCTGAACACAACTGCAGGATGGAGGCTGACTTGGAAGGGGTCCCCACTGAATAAATAAGATAGATCCAGGTAAGAGGAGACCAAAAGACAGACTGGGTTTAGATTACAAGAGTTTACATAGATCTATTTGACCTTCTGCTTGAAGGAAGTGTTTCACAAGGCCAAGAAACCCAAATTCTTGGCTGCTTGAATTACAAGATGGTCTTTGACTCCTTTGCTTTGGAGAAGGCTGCCAGGAGAAGGAAGCTGGCACGTACAGAGGGTAGAATGTACATTTGGAACAAAGTTTTATGGAAGGATCAATAATACAGATTGCCTATTAGCTGCCACCTCCAAAATAAGGGAAAAGTGATTTACAAAAAAAAAAAAAAAGAAAGAAAGAAAAAAAAAAGAGGATGATATTCCTAGGCTTTCTGGATTGAAATACATTACTCTCAAAAGAAGTAACACTGGAGAAATATTTTTTATATAAATGTATATGTACAAACACACGTATGTATGTATATATATGCACACACAAACACCTGAAAACAGTTTGGAAGAAAGTTATCACAGTGCAAGGCGAATCTGCTGGGTTTTCAAKCACTTTTAGGGGCACTTTGGTGTAAAGAAATGCTGCTGTGATGTGGGGAGCACCCACCAAACGAGACCTCTGCCCTCACTACCTTAAATATCCATGCGGTCTAGCTGTGCAAAGGGCATTTAGGGATCACCGGGAGAAACCCTTGCGGCTGGGAGCTCCAAGCACGGCCACAGTCTGAGAGATGGGAAAGCAAAATGAGAAAAATAATATATGGACTAATAGGAACGTCCTGCGGGGAACACCCAAGCCGAAGGCTCCCCAAAACCAAACACCTCCTATATAAATATATATATATAAAGTTTTTTACATGCTYGGCACTATTTGGACCTTACTGAAGTAACACCATCTAGATAACCTGTTCTAAAACCAGAAAGAGAGGAAGAAAGATAACTTGGTTATGCCCCGTCTAGCACATTTGCCCCCAGGTATGAGGCTGGCTCCTATAAAGCTGCCTACCCTGCGGATCTCATCCTGGAAATACCTAGGCTGYGAACTGAGTGGGATTAGGGCTTGTAAGGAGCACACCACCTAGTGACAAGGACCACAGGGGAAGGTCTCCTCGCTCCGTCCTGTCCTCAAAGCCACTCGACCAACACAGCAACGTTGGGTTGCACGGGTGTCTCTGCAACGGTGCTGACTCCTGGCCTGCTCTGCTTACCAGGGGGCTACTCTGCAAGCTCAAGCTGGGGTTTAAAGCTCGGGTAGGATTCTGGATATTTTCCATATCCCTGAAAACACAGCCCTCGAGGTCAGCACCAGCACTGCAGGGCTGGCTCTCCCTCCCTGCCTATGCACGAGCTCTCTAAAACAGAGCCAATAACCACAACCGGAGCCAATAACCACCAGCAGGACAGGACCACAGCCCAAGGTCCCACCAGCCTCGAGCAACACGGGGCCACCAGCCCACGTCCACCACTCAAAGGAAGCCCAAAGAGGCCAAGTTCATCATCATCATCATTATTTTTCCTCTCTCCTTAAGACCAACGTGACCCGAGAGAGCGGTTCAGAGTTATGGAGGGGGATAATAGTGGATGAGGAAAAAATGGTCGTAGCTCCTACGTTTTACCTGCAACGGGTGTCAACTGCTGAGGGAGCATCCCCATAGGTGTCGGAGGCGGCACCACCCCCATAAGAGCCCCGACAGGAGTGCCTGCCCGGGGTGAGGGATTCTGCTGCTGTTGCTGTGCTGCTCGCTCTCTCTCCTGCTGCTCAGCAACTTTAGCTGCCCGCTCTGTAAAAGCAGTTTCAGATTTTCAGTTCTGCTTCGTAACCCAGAACGTTCCCCAAAAAAATAAAAAATAAATAAATTAAAAAAAAATCATCAGCTGTTCATTGCAAAAGGACTAGCACGACGCTGGCATGGTTTATGGAGCACGTAGAATGGAGCCCTCTCGCTATCCCGGCCGGGCTGGCCATGGCTAAGACTTGTCCAAAACCCTCCGTGAAAAATATTCCACTGAATTTTTAAGTCTTTTTCTGTTTTAAATTTAAAAAGTCAGAAGGCAAATGTGATAATTAACACCAGTGTTACCAAGGAGAAGCAGCTCTTGGCTCAGTCCACACTAGGGAAACACGGCAAGAAGTCGCTCCTCTGGAGCCCGCCGGCTCAGTTACGGCACTCGGAGCCACGGCCACCAGCTGCTGCTGGAGCTTCGAGCACCAGCTCTACCAGACAGGCCCTGGAGCGAGGTGCAGACAGCAGGGATCACTTGGTGGCCTGTTGTTTTTTGGGGGGACTACCAGTATTTTCACTGCTGATGCAGCTGGAAGGCAGTGGCAAAGCTGGGCATGGCTGCAACATTTCCCTAGCGGCGACAGGTCCTTCATGTTTGCAGCGTAACAAGCAGCAGTGATGAACCAAAAAAATAYATAAATATATATATTTTCCCCCTGCCACTCTGTCACTTTTGCCCATTCTAGTCCCCCTTGAGCTATTCCTTCCTTTTTTAATTTTTTTTTCCTCCCGCTAACTCACATTTGCCGTTCAGTGGAGGGCACTTGTGTCCTYGGTGTGATGGATCTGGTGGGTATCTCCATCAAGGGTCTCACTGCGACCCTACGTGCTGGGGTATCTGACCAGGGAACCTGACATTAGGGGAAGGGCGAGTGGCCATGGGAAGAAGAAAGAAAGAAAAAGCCAAACCAACCCCAAAATGGAGCTCTGCCCAACGCCTCCTCGGCAGACTTGGGGGACATGCAAGGCACTAGGCTGTTTACTCTGCACATTATATCCCACTGAAAGCAATGAGCAACGCCGAAGAATAAATGAAATGCAGCATACGCCTCCAGCAAACCTCAGCAACAGGGAACGCAGGGCTAGAAGTTGGCTGGCAGTTGGCAAAAGATGCAAACTGCCACTAAAACAGCAACCAGGGTCCTCYGTCCAACCACGCTAAGCTGCTCATCCAGGAGATTAAATTATCCTGCCCATGGTACCAGCTTTCCCTAGGATGCGACTCCCAGTGGGTAGGGTGCAACTGTATCCTGCAGGAGCTCCTGGAACTATTATCCATATGCTGAAAGACCAGTCCCATTTTTAAGGGCATCTCCTTCCTTGCTTTTCGGTTCTGGAATTTCRAGACGACGACGCACAGAAAGTCCCAAATTTGCTACAGGCAACTTGCAAACGACCAGGCACAAAATACATAAGCTATGGTAGATGCTCAAGTAGAAAAATGAAATTAAACCTCCTTGGAGCAGGTATTTAGTGAAAAGGTAAAATAGCTGTTATGACTATATCTATTTTTGGCCAGTTCAAAAAAAAAAAAAAAAAATCTGGAAATTCTCTGCTGAATGAGAAGTTACTCTAAACTTTCAATTTTATTAGATTTTGAGGCGCTGAGATTTCAAGGAGGACACGGCATAGGGCAAAACTTGAGTTTTACCTGGTCTCTCTCCACGTCTTGGCTGGCACAGAACTAACAGATGAAACTCGTAACACTGCCCAAAGGGAAGAGGGGAGCGGGGCAAGAAGTTCAGCCTGGAGCATTTACCTCCGTGAATCTCAGCCCAGATAATTTATCTAGGACAGTGCTTGAGAGCACAAGCGCTGCTGACGTTTCCAATGCATCTCCAAAGACAGAAAGGAGACCTGCTCCTTTGAGCTTCTCCTTAAAAGAGGGTTTTGCCTCATTCTCCTTGTATTACTGTATTTTGAATTTATCACGCAGGCCTTTCCATTGCAGCCTGTTCTTTGGCTACTGCTATAAATTAAATATTATTCTGTGTATATACCAAGTGCACTTTCCAGTGGGCCAAAAATGGATTTAAAAATGCAAACCACATTTCCCCAAAATACAGAAAGGCATTTTTTCCCACTCAGATGTCAAAGCCTGCCGGTTTCCTGCTCTCTGCTGCAGTGACTACACTAAAGAAAGGAGACTCTCCCTCACCCGTGCCAAGCAAACACAGTTTGAACGCTTTGTAATCCCACCCCAGTTGCTCAAAAGGAAAGAAAAGCAAGTCTGGTTCTGGGCAGACACCAAGCCTGAGAAACCGCAGTCCAAAACTCAAAGTTTTGGAAAATTTTCAGTGAGAAAGAGGATTAAAAAGGAAGCACTTGGGCTATCATGAACACAATGGGCAGCCACTGTTGCTACTCTTACGTTACAGCCATATCTCCCAAAGCAAGACGTCGAGCTGCTCTAAGCTACGAAGCTGTCCTATTGCTGGAGACTTAGCCCAGAAGGAGGGACCTGTCAACATAAAGATACCACGTGCACCTAGAATGGTGTTAAAGAAAAGTAAAATAGAAAAAAAAAAAAAAAAGAAAAAAGAGGCTAGAGTATATTCACCGAGAAAGAGCATTACCATTTCCTTCGCAGCGTTTGCAAAGAAAACTCACACGTAGAGGAGTGGTGCTGAATTACTCTCCAGAACTGCAAAAAAAAAAGGTTCTGCCGCAAATTCAGAGAGGGCTGAGGAGGGCGAGGGTGCAAAGTGGCAGCCTGCAAACCTTGGGTTGGAAGGTGAAGGTTGCCCTTAAGTTCTGAGTATGCAAAAAAGCTACCAAACTCCAGGTTTAAAAGCCCATCTATAACTTAAGCAGGTAATAACTTTCTAGAGTGTTGAAACCTTCCTATCCACAGGGGTATTTTCTTCCAATAAAACTGCCTAAAAAAGAAAAGGGGATTTATGTGGGAAATGTTGATGCCTTGTTAGCTATAGCAATAGGTCTAAGATGCTAAGGGAAAGTATTTGGYTTGGATAGGGACTGCTTTTAAAGAGCAACTGTCTTTTGATCTTGATCAAAAAAGGTTGAAGCACAAGGATCAATATTAGCAGGAAAGAAAGAAAAAGACAGAAAAAAAAGAAAGAAAGGTCCTTCTAAAGCATCTCCTGTACGCAATATATTTCTAGGCTTACTGAGGATATGAGATCTCTTAATAAAACTAGTTACAATTCAATGACTGAACAACTGGGACAGGAACATCCCAGCACTGTACCAGGTGATGTATCCTTGATTTTAGTCCACTAGTCTTTTTAAGAATCTGAGTTCAGTTAATGAAAGAGCTTTTCTTCCTGCTCCCCTGCGTATTTTCTTACCTGCCTCTCAGCTCAGAGGAGCTTCTTGCTTCTGGTTCAAAATCCCCTTTCTTGCTTAAAGGAAACTTTTACCGACATTTTTTTTCAATTGACTTCCAGCAATTTCCCTCCATGCCCCACGCCTTTTACCTTTCCCCCCCATTTTCTTTGCCTTTGTGGATAGCTATTTGTGGCAAAGTTAAATAATCAGTTGTCACAATGATCCAGTGAACTACATCACTTAAATAATAGTCCTTGCTCCTCTTCAGTCATCTCTTAATATGAGCGTCTCTTTAAGGTACATCCAGAACATAAATATAAGTATCTTCTTTTGTTAACCCTGCCATCTGAATAAAAGTAATGATCATATTTAGAAAGAGAAAAGCAGAAGAGAGATTATAATTTTAGTTCTTATTTACCTTCATATTCTGCTTTCTTGGTCGCTTCCAGGTTTCTCCATTCAGTTCCTACAAGTCTGCTGAGCTCTCCAAAGGAGTAGTCCGGGTGCTGAGCTTTAATTACAGCTCTCATCTCGCTGCTAAATAAGATGTAACCGCTCATGTTGATCTTCCTTTTTGAKCCCTCCTTCTTGGCGCTGCCCTTAACAGACTTGGGAGTGGACTGTGAGGAAAAGCAGTGATGACCACGAGCGTACAAAGAGAGCAGCCTCTCAACTTACAAAATCCAAAGTCGTTAAGAAATAACATTTCAAAGCGTTTCACCTTTTTCTTGCATACATTTGTGTGAGGACCATGCAAACTYACAGCCCTTGAAGAGAGGGGCATCTGCTACTCACAAATGACAGCAAAACACACACTTAAGGAAAGCACAAAGAAAATAAAATAATAAAATCAATGATTTGATCCTTTTCAACTCTTACAGACCTAAGGCCAACCTCATAACTGGGGCTTCACAAAGGTCTGAGTGAACACAATAAAGAGCATTTCCTATCGGCTGCTGTTCTTCCAGACTGAACGAGAGGTCTATGATTGGGCTGGCAATCATTGCCAAATATTTCAAGGATAAAAGAGACAAATGCATCCAATTTTTTTTTATTCTAGCCATGCTAGCCCTTCCACTCGCCACTCTGAGCCCACTAGCCCAACACTCTTGGGGAGCTTCAACAAAGCTTCAGTTGTGTTAACCCACTTTAAAAGTCAACTTCAAATTACTTTAAGACAGGATCAACTCATGCCTTCCTATAGATGATTTCAAGAATCAGAGTTTAGACTCTGTTGTAACCGTTTTCAAATGGCAGCCCATCTTTAATATGTTTTTGGGAGGTAACCCTTCAAGGTTTACGATGGAGGAAGTGAAGAAACCTTCCCCATAGATCTTGAGAYGAACCACAGACCAGGTACAACCAATGTTGCTTCTGAGGCAAGCACAAGGAGTTCCCAAATCAGCAAAGGGAAAAAAAATGAGAGAAATATTTGGCCTTTCATATATCTGCACTCAAACAGCTGCACATTTATCCCGTTGCTTTGCCTGCACAGTGCCTGCAGCAAAGTTTTGATAACGGTAATCCAAAGGAAAAGCCTACTCATCAGTTTGGAAGGGAAAAGAGGACTTGGAAAAACATTAAGAGCTCTGAATTCGGTTCTACTTTCCATAATTTTACCTCTCTGATACAAAACCAGAAACTTCTTGGTTTGAGTCAGATAACTGCATTTTCAGTTTTCGAAGCTACAGGAGAAGAAATATGCCTGCGACTCAACACCACATCACTTTTATATGCTTTTTTCTCAGCCATAATGATAAAATTAAAAAAGAGGGTTCCAGATCTTCCTTTGCCTCAGGTTCTCCTTCATGATTTCGCAACAAACTATGCAGCGGGAAGACTGGCACCCAGCTGTTTGTCAAGGCCCACAATACCACATGTTCACTTGTCTGGATTCCTCGTGTTGGCTATTATTTTAATAGTTGGCCAATGCCAATATCAATATGCTATCTTTGTAATACTGGGCAAGACTTTTCATACTACTTATGAATTTAGCACTGTAAAAATGAGAGCAACAAGACAACTTCGYGCAGGAAAATGCGTTTGATGCTCGGACCATGTGACAAAAACATAGACTCAAACTAAACTAAAGCTTTCCATTTCATCACCTTTTTTTTTGCCCATGACATCCAAAGTCAGTTATTTCTATCCAGAAGCCTCATCATCATCTTCTACTGTCAGCAAGGATGTAATTTTAACAGAAAAACTCAAGAGAAGCCCACATTGCTGGTAGAAATGTCCCAAACTCCTTCCCAACCCCCTTCCCAATCCCAGCAAGTCACTCCACTGTTCCTTTAATGCTGACAATTGTATCATGACAACCTGATGGAAACGGATAAAGGATTTAATTCAGCTGCAAACAATCTTTCTGGTCAAGTTAGATTTCAGATAAAGCAACTTCTCACCCTGCTTCACCTCTCAGTTACATAAACACCAGGGCTTGTGTCAGGGCCACAGCAAGAGAGGGAAGACAGACAAAAAATGCCCTGTTTGATGTGCCATGAGTCACTGCTGCTATCAAAATGGCATGTGAGCATGCCATTTGGCATCATTTGTTAAATAAATGATGATTCCCTATCTGCATTCACCAGCAGAGTAACTCCCTAACTTCTAGCATGCTCACCAAGATGCAAAAAGAGTTATGATTATTTTTAACTTTCTACAAATTCCAGTTTCCAAATATAAATGACAATGCAAAACCTATCAGTGATTTGCAATGTCCATATAAGAAAAAAWAAAATTCTTTGTCCTTTGAAAAGGATGCATAGATTTTTCTAAAAGCTCACAAAAATGTGGCACCTAAATTAAGTCTTTTTCAACGCTTAGAAATAGATGTTACTATGTAAATTTAGAATTAAAAAAAAAAATTTGCATATATTTCACAAAAGGACCTGATATTTCTTAGTGTCATGCTACTAGTAAGAAATACAAATGTTCTGTGTTACAACCCCTGATTATTTCCTGAATATGCAGGCTTCCTTTGTGAGGATTTAAACAGACTTAAGTATTATAATCATGACTATCATATAGGATATGCTAAACTCTCCTGTAAAGTTATTCCAAATACTACTAAACTGAAATAGAAATCTCTTTTGTACTTGGGATAAAATGTTTCTGCTCTTTTGTGTTTATTTGGTTTGAAAAAAGATTGAGGAATACTAAATGTTAAAGGTTTCTTAGGGAAGATCTTTACCTGTGGTGGAGTGTAAGGCATGATATCCAGGTCACTGGCCAACGGCGTCTGAAGCTGAGGAATAGAGGGTGTTTCAGTGATGTCACCTTCCTCTTCTCCCATCTCTTCTATGTCTTCTTCACCTCCTTCCAACTCGGCAAATTTTGCTTCTAGTTGCTGGATCTTCTTTTCTAGCAGAGGGGACGGCTCCTTCTGGGGAACTATAGGTTTTCTATAAAGTGGCATAGAGAAGAGACAAAGCTGATGTTACTTAACTTASAAGCTAATGTTCTTATTTATATCAATGATCACCAGCTGGAAAGCTCTTTACTACCCATAATGAGGACCTCAGCATGACAAGCATTTTAACTCAATCTCAAGGGATCTGATAACAAAATGACCTCTCCTGAAGCCAAGAGAAGAAAGAAGATCCACTAATAACAGTGAAACACGGATATAAATGCTGATGTTATCTGGACTCCTTCTCAAGTGCCCTGTTTTCTACACAATCATTTCTACACAGAAGAGTGTTCAAGCGATTGCTTCTTTCCCATAACRCTTTTACCTAAAATAGTATATCTCATCATCGACAACTTTTGCGGAGAGTGAAAACCTCTTGAGCCCTTTGAATTTCTTCATCTGTTTGTCGCTCTCGTTGTAGCGGCTCTCACAAAGGAAAACATCATTTTCAGAGATTTCTGTTGGTCTGCAGGAGAGGAAGTCCTTGAATGACAGGACAGCACATTTTCCTGCAAAAACGAAAGAGCTGAATAAGAAGGTGGCCACAWCTGTGGGCATTTTATGAGAGGTGGGGATTCCTACCTCTTAGTTCTCCTAAGCCTAAAAAAAAAAAAAAAAATTCAATATTTAGCCTTACCACAGAAAATACACTAATTGACATCTCTATACTAAATAACGTTGCCTATGAGAAATCTTCAGAAACCCAACACAACTTTTGTGTCTTTTAAGAACAAGAAAACTGTCAAAATATCAAAATCTATAATACTCCCCAGTTAACTACATCTGGCACTCAATGTTAGCTACAAGATGAGGTGCACATGGTCCTCTTCTTTCTCAAAGCCAATTTTGGTCTTCTTTTCAAGGAGATTTTTTAGGACTTTCCAGGTACAATACACTGGAACAATGACAATCATGAGTGTTCTGTCCTCTGGTTGTAGCCAATATTCAGCTATGTAAATGGAATTCCATTTTATAGGAAAGCTTCCTGTTGATGAAAATTCTCACTACAGGCCCCAAAAACAGKCGTGCATTGTGGAACTGGATGGAGCAATCTCTTCTCCCCCTCATAGTACAAGAAAAAAAATCAATTACTTGAAATCAAATCTACATGTAATTATAAATTGCTTCAGTTTTTTAAGACATTTAGGAAAAGAGAGAATCCTTTGGATTTAAAGTTCATGATCATTACCCAAAATGCAAGTCATAGGACAGGACTCCTCCAAGTTACTCAAAAACACTTCCTTCTTGTAGAACATTTTCGTCGGTTCATGTTCAGTTTCTTCAGGATGGATAAAGATGGGACCAAAAAAATATGCAGCTCCATCTCGTACCCACATCTTCTCAATTCTAGAAGAAAAAAGAAAACAGTGACATGACTGAATGATCTTCTTTTGTACATGATGCAGCTGAAGACAGCATGTTGTTCAGGAAGACTGTCAGGAAAGATGTTCAAGTACAAAACAACAGTCTGAAGGTCATCTTTATTCCCACTCTATAGCTGCATCATCTTTTCAGCTTGTTGTGCTTCAACTTCAACCTGTTAKGAGTTTCTAACATTTTGCTTCCTTCAGAAGATCTCCTCCCATCATCATCATCATCTTTTCTACTCTTTGCAACAAGCCAATCTTTCGTTGAAGTTCTTTTTTATAAGCACAAACTGCAAATAAAGAAGTTGCACCTACCTTCCTACTCGAGGTCGCACTAACCCATGGGATTTTATGAAGACACAGTCCCCAACCTTAAGCCACATATCATTGTAGCAGAGCTGTTCAAAGTAATGGCAACCAGGTTCTCCATTGGACACTTCTACTGGAACATCTTCTTTGTCCTACAGAAGAGCACACATTGAGAAACTTCTAACRAAGGAAAAGCAATCACTGAAATAAAACCATGCCAGAAAAAGCAAGATTTTATAAAGAAAGAAAATATTTCTTTCACAAGGGAAAAAAAAGGCCACACTTCTTTTATCTTCACTCCACTACTATGTTATTTTGCTAACTTTCCTATTTAACTGTAAAAGCGGTAACTTTGCCAGAACAGTAATTCACAGGTCCCTTTATTTATTTATGTTTTGTTCTGTTGCCTCACTGTTGTCAACTGGCTAAGCCTCCTCAGCCTAAGYTGATGGGATATTTTACAGCATAATAATACACTTAGAAGGCAGGAATTAATTATTTGACCAAATTAACATACACAGAAATTTCATGAGTCAACTCTCATATAAGGCAATACCAATGTTCTACATTCAGTGCATTAATTCATACCATTCTTTGGACTGAGTTTGTTACTGCCTCCTAGTTATTGATGATTTCACTAAAACATTACATAATAATTTCAGCATTGCTGTGAGCTAAAAATAATAGACCACTGGGTCTGCTGATTTTCTAGGTTTAGGGTAAACCCTTTAGTAAAGTAAAAATTTCTGTTGAGGCACAGAACRTTAATCCATCACGTGATGATGCATACACAAGAAACAAGTAAACCAAAAGAAATTTAACAAACAGGTACACAGTTAATCTTCTCTCCTGTCTACTTATGTTGTGTTTAGCTGCATCTRTTGATACAGCGTTGAAGATGCTGCTAAACCAAACCCCTCAGCACTCACATTTTATCATTTTTTATCTGCCAAATAGACTCAGCCTCCAGCCTAAGACCGTACGTACCTTTTCAAGATGAATGATACTCTCTCCTGCCTTACTGTCCTCCAAGTTTTCCGCGTGTTTCTCTTCATCTGCTTTGTCTGTGTTGGCAAACACAGAGGCAACGCGGACCACGGGCAGAGGCACATCTCGTGGGACAAATCTCACCGAGCTAACTGGCATCGTCCACAGCTTAATCTTCTTAAAAGATTTTGTCTTTGCAGAATAACGGGACTCGCAGACGTAGACATCTTCGTCGCGAAAGTTTTCGGGACATAATTTAAAATATTCCTGTGCATCAAAGAAAATACTTTTAGATCAAGTCCTTCAGGAACATACACACCATAGACACGCTGTTAACTCCCTCTCACGCTCCCTCTTTTCTCCTATGTATTTATCACTTTTAATAAAACTTCCCACTCAGTTTCTCTTGCAATTTGACCTCCAAGTTACATTAAAAAACGAACCAGAAGGCGTACCCTTGGAGAAGAAGAAAGTGCATGCTAAATTCAGTAAATGTCAGGGGAGAAAAGTTAGATTCTATTCATTTACAGAAAAAAAAAATCATTAATAAAAGCAGGCTTGAAGACCCAAACTGCCTTTCCAAGGTTTCTGAGTTTTGCCTGGGWAACAGATCACGATCAACAAGAAAAATACCATAAGCTCCATGCCCATTGATATGTGACAATAATTCCCACCCATGTTCTCATCAGCAGTTAGCACTTTTTTCCTTAAAGACGTTGCCTTTAAAGAAGTGGCTGAAATATTGACATGGTTCCAAGAATCCAAAAGTGTTTGGTGTGAAATTAATGTGCAATTTTTCTATGTGAAATTAAATTGAGACAGAGGTGAAGGACTTCATCCTGTTCCCAAGCCTTCAATGTAGTATGCAAGTGTTCTTGCCCCAATTCTAGCTATTTATGTAATARATATAATAATTCTACAAAGCAACTAGTACTGGAAAACACCATTACTTTACACCACTTCTGCTCCACTGTGGATGAGCTACATGTACCATGAAGCAAACGTAGAACAAAATCAGGAGTAAGTTCTATTTTATTATCTATTTTATAGATCAGTCCTGCCTATCAGAATGGATCTAATCAAGGAAATAACAGAAAACACATTATTTAACAAATCAGTCCAGTAAGTCTCTCACCTTAACAAACATGACCACACACTTGCCTAAAATTTTGCTAACGGGAACTTTATTGTAATAGTCGCTTTTAAAAACTTCTTTCTCCAAAAACTTTCGTGTCGCAAGATGAAATGTTTCGTTTGGTCGATAAAACCAACAGCCATACAACCATTTCTCTCCTTTAATAGARGGAAAGAGAGAGGGAGGGAAGAGAAGAGAAAAAAGAAGCTGTAAAAAGATACGTTCAGTGAATGAAACCAACCATAAATCGTCTGCACAATTGAACTAGGAGAAAATCTAGCCCATTTAAAACAAGGAAATATTCCATAAATGCTTCAGAGAAGTAAAATCTACTTACTCAGACTTGCAAGTTCTTTTTTTCCTTCCTAAGAAAACCTACCTCCTAAAAACAAAGGAGGTGTTAATTCTCTGTGCTAGACAGCTAAGTCCGGCTTAAGTCTACAACTTATTTAAAACCCTGACTTTTAGGCCTTGGAATGGCTTCAAAGTCTCTACAATAACCACCCGAGTATTTGAAGAGCCAGATGTATGAAGACCCTTGGGCAAAGGGCTTCAAGCTTTTAGAGAACTATTCTTTCCACATCAGGCTGTGATAAAAAAAAAAAAAAAAATCAAATTATAGCTTACCAATTTATAAAGAAATTGGCAATACCTATTATTTTTCTAAATCAAAGCATTTGCAATCTGTGGGCAGAATAAAAAGCGCTATTTGCTTTCTCCATAACAGACAAAGCACATAAAGAATGTCCAACTTGCCCAACCGACGATCCATACGCTCTATCCAAGAGGCTATTAAGGGAAAGGACAAAAGCTTTGCCACGAAGGTGAATCATCTGGATTAGGGGTGTTAGAGAGCTATTCTCTTTATYTGGCTATTATTCCCTGGCTGCTCCCCTTGTTATCTGTTTTAAACCTGTAGTACATTGACCTGTCTCATTCATTTCTGAAYCTGCCTCTACAGGGCTCCCAGGGAAGCCAATTCCAGAGGCTCACACTCTACTGTATTAAAAACCCAGACATTTTATCATGTTTTAATCTGATCTGTCAGTGTCAATGAGTTACTTCTAATTCCAGTACCACAAAATTTGCTGAACGTTAGTTTTGAATTCACCTTATCCACCAACTAAATGATTTTTGTAACATTAATTGTATCCTGCTTCAGACTTCTCTCCAAACTGAAGCCCTTTTGAGYGCAGCTGCGCTCAATTTATCAATAACCCAATCCATTTAGGAGAGCCTATTTTGCAGGATACTTACAGTTTGTGGGGAAGGTTGCTGGGGAGAGAAGTGTACTGAGTCAAGAACTTTACGATATTCCTTGGAACAAATTATTTCAAAAGCAAGCAAAAATATTTATCAGCCCATATTTGTAAATGAAATAATTTCTACGCAGAAAAGGCTCAGCTTGGAAGTTTTAAATAGCAATAATAATAATATAAAGGTTCATCACGTTGTTTTCCTATAGAAAAGGCCTTCTTACCAGCAGAATCTTCCCACAGTCTCTCAATGCAGACTATGTGAGGCTGCAGGTTGGCTTCAGCAGGCTCCACGTAGACATAGTCCCCTACGTGGTACATGCTGTTCTTGAAGCTGCAATCCTGACTGTAGGTCCGATGCAAACTTGACAGACCAGCTGATGCAGAAGAATCTTCACTCTTTTCTGCTTCTTATTTTAAGAAAAAAAACCAAAAGGAAGACAGAAGTTAGTACATCCATATTGACACATTAACCACTACTGCTGATGGGAATTCTCTCCCTCTTTTAAAATGCTGGATAGCTCTTTGTGTAAAAGACAAATAAAAGACCTTGTATTTAATATACCCAAATGAATGACTAAATTTCAACCTCCAAGAATACACTCCAGCTTATCATAATCTCATCGTGTAGCCAAAGCCTCTGAGCCACCTAAGGAAGAMACAGACTTATCAACTTGTTAATCATACCTCTGCTCTTCATGGATTGAGTTAAAGGACCCGGCTTAATGAGCTACGACTWAACTAGTAACGACTAATAATCATTTATAAAGTTGTTATGAAAGTGAACATGGAACATTACTGCAGATCAATAAAGCTTGTAGGCTATCCAGAAATAGTGCCAATATTTACTACAAATGTTTTCTTTTATAATACCTTTGGAATGAGGCTTCCAGTATCTGTTCTGATTAATCAGTTTACGTAAGGTTGGCATTGAGCTAACTGTCTTTCTTCAAGTCATATGGCTTTGCCTACAAAACTCAAAATAAAACACATTCCTCATAACTTTAAATTACAAGATTCCTGTTTAGGCAATCAGGGGATTATATTATAATAATCCTTATCCTTATAATTAAGGATCCCTCAGTAGGTGAAGCTGCAGAAAGAGCAGAGCACACACCATACGCATAGATACTTCTTTCAATTAATACATCCTACATTGTTGTAAAGAAAATAGCTACCTCTCTTCTCCTCCTCTCTTTTGAGCTTATCCTCCTCTATTTCTTTGGGCAGCTTTTCCTTCTTTTCCTTTTCCACGTCGTTGTGAAGGTGCTTGGTGGTGTAGCTGAGCGCTGGCGACAGAAGAATCTCTCCGTTTTTACACAGTTCGTCTCGAATTTTAATAAAGAATTGCTGAAGTTCAACTGCATCCTCATAGATCTCGGAATCGGTCCTGAATAAAAATAGGGACAACATTCCAAGACAGAGCAGAGTTTGTGCAGTYAAAAAGGATTCTAAACACGCACCTATTGCTACCAGCTATAGTGATAAATTTGAAATATATTTTATACCAAAGGCGTCTTCTTTAGCAAAGAGCTAATGCAAAAGCATTCAATACATCTTGCTTCATTATTTCTTTATTTACAGCTTGAATAGCACTCCTACACTAAATATTCAAGAAGAATCAAACATTTGTGCCTTCATATCTGTGCTGGGGTTTTTTTTGAGAATTGGATAAGCACCATGTTGCTCTATGGACACAGATGACGTGAGAATCAGTGTGTACCCTTAAAAATCAAAGCCTAAAGCTGTAACAAAAGCCCCTGAAAGTACTTGCCACCAAACATATCCCTCCTGCCAAAGTATTTACAAAGCGAAAGATTAGCAAGTGATGTATAACCAGCTTCAAGTAGCAGACTTGAATCGAACTCATTTTTGAGTGACAGAATTCATTTTATGACAAAATGAATTATTTTCAGAAAGAAATAGGTTCTAGGGGGTTGTTTGCATACCTTGGAAAATAGACACGATCAATATTCTGTGACTCAAAAGAGCACTTTCCAGTCAAATACTGCCGAGTTTTGATCGTTTCTATTTTAGGATCTTTGCTTAAAAAATGGCATTTGTGTTCTCTGAAATCTACTGCCAGCTTTTTGGTTACAGAACTTAGAGGTTTCAACAAAGACGAAACAAAAGGCAGGTTAGAAACCAACACTATCAGCTTACTTGATGGCTACAAAGATGCACCCTCTGATTTAGAGGGATCCCCAATGCTCCATCTCTGGGTGGACACGAACAATCTTGCAGATAATTTCAATGAAAAATACTTGAAAATTCTTGAGCAAAATATAAAGGAGAAAGACGTGAACAAAAAGCTTATTCAGGGTAGCCTGGCTGTGTATGCCAGCTCACAAGCAAACTGCCAGAAACCATCAAGAGTGACATTGTGCATTAGGTCAGCTGCTCTGCCATCAGAGGCTGCATCTATCCTTTATGCTACAGTACAATGCAGGCCAGTTACTCCTACACCTCCTGCTTCCAAACGTTCCCAAAGTTTCCGTGCCATAAGTTCCCTGGCAGAAAATCTGCCATGCTGGGGTAGGATTTATTGTGCCCATGCTATATGCACAGCCAATCTATATGGCTCAAAAGTGACAAACCCACCGAGATGCAGAAGCTCTGGCTGTGCCAAGATGCACCAGGAGAGCAGGACTTCTCAAACCCACACATAACTTCCTAAAGGGTGATTTAAGGCAAAGAACAACCTTCTGCCCAAAATCGAAATAACAACTAAGAGCCACATGCGGTCTGCCGGGGAAAACTCAACAGGAAAACAAAATGATCTTCCTGGAAATATCATCTCTTGGATTTTATGACACCTTGTAGGCTGTGTGCTGAGTTTAACTACGGTCACAACAAACAGGGCAGGCAATATCCACCGAGGCTTCACTCCAGCAATGACTTTTGGTGCTTATTCCTGACTAAGTGGCAGCAGAGACACTGGCAAGGCCCACTCCACCTGCTACTCTGCTGTCAAGTCGTATCAGTRTGCCTCAAAGGCATTATTTTTGCATACACCAATCCTAAAATACCAGGAAAAAAGCAAAAATAACTTTCTGAGCCTCTACAAGCTGTTCACTTTTGACAACAACTTCCAAGAACCAAAATACTCAACCAAAATTACTCCACCAGCCCTATTCCTGTCAGCAGATGTTTCACTGCCTTCCCTTCACAGTAAAGACCTCACTTGTGCATCACCTACCTAAYTCTAATTCAAGTTCAACACAGCAAGAAGTGGCAGGAGTTCACAGTTTTTCCACAATCTTATCACAACTCACAAAAATGTGATTAGTCCAAGGGAGTAATCCCCTAGTCTAGCAATTAAACAGCTGCTCTTCTTAATTCCGTGTTTCACGTTGTCTAAAGTCAGCACATCTGTGGTTCTTACAAGGTGTTGCTTTTAAAAACTAACATGAAAATTATCTCATGGCAAAGCCTAGCTATTCCTTGACTTTAAATGAAACTTTACATTCTGTGGAATGCAGCAATACATCCTTAATTGAGCAGCATTATCTAAACACCCCTATCGAGAACAGCAAACATCCTGCAAAACCTCAGGCTCTAATGGCAACAAACAAAACTCATGCTCCAAGACCAAGGCTATTTGAAAACCATCACTTACCTGTTCATTCTCCTCGCCCGCTCAAGAACCTCAAACATATTCTCCTGAAACAAATCCAGTCTCCTGTAGCGATTATTTTCAACGTTTTTTCGGATAATATCAAAAGTCAGAGGAGGTTTGTTTGGGAAGTTGGGATCCACAGCAGGAATCTCAGCTAAAGAGTCACTGTAGCATCTGCCTTCATCATCCTGATGGCTCATAACAGATACAAAAAGGTTATGGATAAGTTCCTGGATTAGCAAAGTGACATTGGGGACATGAGAATCCTCATCTCCTTCTATCTCCCTTCGAGTTTCGAGCAAAACTTTATGCAAGACCAGGGCATCTTTATAAATCAAAGATTCTGGCTCATTATAGGTGCAGGCATTATTGAACATCATCACAAAGTCTTCTACCATGGAGTCAATATCCTGGTATTTGTTGGCCATCATATGGCTTCTGATTTTTTCCATGTCAACGGGCTTTTTAATAGTTACATAATAATCAGGAAGTTCGGATCGAGATGGCAGCCTCAAGAAGATGGCACTCAGTCGCCTGCCTCGTTTATCCGTGTAGTTCTTAACGGCTTCGTAAACTTCATTGAGTTTCTGTTGCATCGGAGTCATGTATTTTGATTTTTTGGGGGAAATGCCACTTTTTCTACCTGAGCACACACAAAAAAAGAAATAAAAAATTCACTAGAAAATTGGAACTTGTGCACTTAAGTCCTTCCATTGGCGAATAACTTACTGTAGAACCAACCAACCTCTGATACGAGTGGAGAACTTCCAACCTGGAGCTCAATCCAAGCTGCTGCTTCCTTTCTTACACCTCTTTAACACGTGCCATTTGTTTAAGGTGACTTTTGGCACACACTGAATTGTGGCACAAGTGCCCAGAAAGTGAAGGGCTCCTCGGAACTCAGCCAAGAAAACATCTTTTCCTTCCCTAGTCAAAGAGTACAGTCCTCTAAAATCAATCTGATCTACATGAAATCCTCTCAATAGCCCTTAAAAATCCAATTGTTGCATGACATTATCCCTAAAATGCTTAATTTTGAAATTAAGCATTCTAAATATTACAAAATTCTTTTATGACAGAAGGTTTATGTCAAATTAAAAGCTGACTATACAAAGTTGCCTTACTTAGCTTGAGTTTAGGAGAAGCAACATCATCATCTTCAGGTAGAGGTCCCAGTTCTTTTCGTTTCTCTTTGAGGGTCTTCTCCAGTGTATGGGCATCATTATATACCTATTGACCAGTAAAGTATTTAGAGAAAAACAAAACAAGGTTTACTAAGCATTTAAATGCTACTTTGAATGCAAAACTAACTACTTCATCAAGAAACAGGGGTTATTTCTTAGATGTCCATCTTCAACAAACTTATGTAGGGAAGCAGAATTGAGGATCATAAATTAATTCAGTACGATATGCATCTTGAACAAGTTATTAATTGTATTTCTAGTCCAAAAGTTATCAAGTGGCAACGTGTAGGTCTTCTCCATTTCCTTCTCAAATCATTCTGTTGAGCACAGAGGAATCTCTTAAGCCATTGCTCAAGATCCCTCAAGGCAGGCAGGACTAAAGCAGCCTTCCAGTGCAGAGCTAAATCCTACCCCAGTGCAGACAATCACGTCACAAAGTCCTGGACAGCAGCTCATCAAGTCTCTCCTTGCAAGGAGCTAGAGCTTTTTCACCACCACTCTCTTATACCATGCTTGCTGGGGGAAAAAACACTGTTCAAGTGTGTAGGTTCATGGTGATTTCCACTCCTCCTGCTCCTGAAGACACCGACTTTTAACATTCTTGTAATTTATCTCGTACTCTATTTTTATTTTCCTTTCAGACTCCTTTTGTAGGTCTTTTAGCCTCATCTCCCATATTCTCCACTTTCACAATTAAGCTGGGTTCTTTCCAGCTAAGACCTCCCCCTTCCTAGAGGTTCTGTGCTCCAAGTAAGGAGCTCAATGTCTCTTGACAGTAGTTACTTTTGTGTGTGATTTACTGAGCTAAATAATGAGAATTTAATAACCATTTTTAAAAAAATATACTAAGAAATAATCAGTTGACATTCTACTGGAGAAACAAGCTTAACCAGTATGAAATAAATCCAACCTTTACAGTTATTGATCTATTATTATAAAGAAGTACACATGCTTAAACAACTATATACCAGGACAGTATTTAAAATAGTAATGGAATGAATGTCATACTTCTACYTTAATTCATAAAACACATCTCAAACACCGGGAGCACCAGCCAAAGCTAAACTATCTGGATATAATTGTCACATCTGCACAGAGGAAATGCAGCTCTATACCTGGGAGCCTTCCTCGTTATAATGCCTTGCATTTCGGAACATGAGCTTCATATCTTCAATCATTGCTTCCTCCCCTGCATATTTGTCATTGCGGATGTTGTGCTCTATCATTTTTAAGTCCATTGGCTCTAAAATAATTTTATAGTAATCGGGATAGTCCTTTTTGGAGGGTTTGACCATAAAGAGATCACAGAGGCGTCTGCCTGTGCCCGATTCTCGAGCTTCCAGGACTGCATTGTATAAGATTTTCATTCGTTGCTTGCGTATGTTCTTTTTACTGTCAGGTTAAAAAGAAGAATAAAAAAACAAAAAAGAAGAGAAGTAACCGTCAGGGGCTCGTTTCCCCTGCTTCCAACATGTACATCAAAATGACATTATTTCTTAGTGCAAGAAAACAAACACAACATTTTAAACACACACAAAGTTCAACAAAAAGTCTATTTTATAGAAACATATGTACTTGCTGGGCCTCACAAGAAATCTATACATAACAACAATTAGCATTTATCTGCTGTAGCTGCCCTTTTTTATTTTTTTTTTTTTTGCTCATCATTTTCACTATTGGAAAATAACCAGTGGTTCTCACTAGCAGAAGAGCAATGCCAGGACATGCTTCCCAATTTCCACAAATGTTTTAACATTTTTTCCAAATTTTGACATTCAGTCCAATCCAAAAAAAGTAAAGCAAAAATGTAAAGCAGAAATACTAAAAGGCATACACCAACATCAAGATTCAAGTTGTGCATCTGATAGAGAAATGAGGACATTCAAAGGACTTTCTGTTGCATCTGCAGAAAACACAATTATCTACCCAGTGGGATGACTTTTCCCCAGGTTATTAGTTTCCTTTTTTCAGCTATATTTTGGGATTCTTGACAGTGCTTCAACTCTGCTCCCCAAAGCTTTTCCAATCTCCCTTCGCTGGCTTTCGTTTAGCAAGTGAAACTGATAACAAGTATTGAACTGATTAAATCAAAAGCACTTTCAGGTTCTTTTAAAGCAGAAGAAAACAAAAAAGGATTTCCCTTCCCTCAATGACAAGGCCTAACAGTTTCTTTTAAGCTTCTCAACACGCCCCTGCACAAGGTGATCAGAAGCTATATAGAGTTAAAATGATGCTAATAATTTACCTTGCTTTATTTGGTAAGCAGTTCTCAACTCTGAAGATTACAAAGACTGGCAATTTGTGCAGTTTTTTCCTTACTTATTTTTATTTGATATTTTTGTGTCTAATAATTCTGCTGTTTTTCTTTTTTCCTCCTAGATTGCATCACCTCCTGTATCCTTATTAACCTTTTCTCTCTTATAATTTCTCTCTATCATTTTGAATGATAGAGAAACTAGTCTAGAAAGTAGTTCGAGTAAATTACTATAGTTTTTACTATAGGTTGTCTATTAAGTATCCTCTTTGACCTAGTTGCTTACACGTAAAGTGACTTAAAAGTGCAATTTCTAACACTAGCTCCTCRGGTAGCTCAGATCTTGTAAGAAGGAAAAGAAAAAATTAATGCCAAGAGTCTCTACCCCCAAATATTTACAGAAACAGTATATAACAAATAAGTAATTAAACTTTGCAAAGAAACATTYACTTCAGTTGCATCTTAATTTGCTACCAAAACAACACAAGCAGTCATACATTGGACAGTGGTAGAAAAGAATAAAACTGCTAACAACCTGTGAAGACAGTCCACAGACCAGACCCCGTCCCGTTCCAAAATCCTGAAATTCATTGAAAAAGTTATAACAGCACCAAATGTAGCCACATGACACCACAGTTATGTCAACAACCACCAATTAGTGGGCCAAAAAGAGGAAAGCAAAGACAGCAAATGTTTTATAATTAATTAGCACAAGAGTTARTGGGGTTAAGTTTCAGAGTTACAACTCCTATAGGAGTTCTAAAACAGGGATAAATAAATAAAAGCAGCAGCAATGCCATGGTCTCCAGGAACTACAAGAGCAAATACCTTTTCCTTTTGGAGCTTCCAGTATCCGATGTGGCAGAAGAAATCATGCTGTCCCCATCCTCGATGTCATCTCTCCTGGCCAGCTCCTTCTTCTTTGCCTGAAGGAAGCGAAAAATCCCCAGTTCAGGATTCTCTGCTGAATATTCCCAGAACAATATCAATCATGAGCACAGACCAGGTGCAACTGTGGATTCTGGACGTGCAAGACCTAAACCACCATCAGAATATTTCCAGAGATCTATTTAAAACAAGTTGGCTGATATATTAAAAAAAAAAGTGGAATTATTCTTTTTAACTGCCAWAAACACTAGGGAAGAATGGATTTGGAAACAAGGCCATTTCACCCTGCAGTTCTTTGCTGACACTATCTGTAAATTCAAGCCTACCTACACACACTCTCTATCAACTTTTTCACAGCTTAATCAGATTAAGATACTTGTTTATGTGTAAAAGTGATTAAGAGAAAGCACAGAAGGTTGCAGCTGTACTGGGGAGGGGAAAAAAAAGTCACCCTATGATCTTCATTCAAGTATATCCCTTCCCACCTGTTATCTACTACTTCTGGAAACAATTTTAACTATTTTAACTGGTAGGGGACACTAATGAACACACAAGACACTATCAACAAATGATTCACAGCYATTAAAAAAAAGCACTAATGCAAACACAGACTTATCTAGAACCTATTTTGGAAAGGTATCGATTGGGGAAATAAATTCACCCATGAATTTTCGATTGTTCAACTCCACATACCTGCATAACCTGCTGCATTTTCAGGACTCTCTTATAGATGGCAGAGTTGGGAACATTATAGCGCTTGGCGTTTTCAAACATCAGGTTCAGGTCACTCTCCAGCTGATCTAAAGTTTCATATTCATGGTTCTTTAGTTTGGTTCTGTGGGAGAGAGCCATATAAACCAGTCAATCCATATGCCTGTTTTTACCATTCTCTAACATCTTCATTTTTAATGGTAAAACAACCCCTAACTGCAGTCATGTGTTACATTTTCCTGAAGCTGCAGCATTATCTTTTAACAGTAGTCACATCTGGCAAAGATATCTTTGTAAAGAATTTSGAATTCTAATAATTATGAAAGCTGTCCTCTCAAAAGGCCTGCAGACTGATGTCCTGCTTTCGGCMATCAGGGAGAAATACAACTGATCTRTAGGAATYTATAAGGTGTTAAGGGGCTACATTAGCTTCATACAGCCACAAGCTCTACCTTCCTACCCCACACTGATTCCCATTCTCAAAGSCAGATAAAAACTTGCATTGAACCACCCAATATAGATTCTATTTAACCAAAGATGACAAAAGGGAGGTTTTTATGTGAAGAGACATAATCTGTCAAGGCACACAGGGAAAACTGAATGCATCAATAGCCAGGGTATGTCATCCTGCAGCTTAAAAAAAAAAAGGGGCCCAAGTCATCTAATTTAAGGATGAAGAGCATGAACGAATTCATAAAATAAATCCTGTGGGATTGGGTTAAAAGGCTGGGGAGATGCTGCCAGACGGGTTTTTCCCTCTCCTTTTATAAAAATGGCACCTGATAATTTCATTTACAGGCCAGCTCCTTTCTCAGACAGGAGTGACAACTGATAATGAGCGAGAGGCTGAATTAACCCCTAATTAAGGATCGCATCAAATGAAGACCATCAGGACTGTCCATGATCTGGGCAGCAAGTATATTTACGTCAAATACCTAAAAAAAAACAGTGTTTGTCACTGCTAAGGGCAGCTGGTGGAGGAAAATGAATGAKGTTTCAACTATTACTATCACAGCGTTAAGATAAAGTCCTTTCAAGGCTTTTGTTGATGTTAACCAGCAACATTACTTCAGCAGAGAGTTGAAAGGAATTAAGTAGTTTGAATTCTGTTTAAATATCAGTAGCAGACAGTTTATAACATCCCTTATAGCTTTGTGAGTTTGCATTTTGCTCCCCCTCTCGCATGAGGTCTTGGTTTGGCTTTCTGAAAGACAGTCTGAAAGACCATATAGTAATTGAATATCACCTTTCAAGCCCAATTATTCCTCCAGGTTGTCTCCTCTTGATTTGGTGTTGGCTGCAAAGCTTAAAACTGCATTTACACAAATATAAAATAGTGCTTCCCAAAAGGCCAATGCTCCTGTACAAGGAYGTCGTGCTGTAGCAAAAGAAATTGGTGCCTCTTCATAGCAGCAGATCAGAAGCTCCTGGCTGCTGAAATCCAGGATTTATTTACCTGCTCCCTCAGACAGGTAGCTCCAGCAGACTCACAGCACTCCTGTTACGTGCTGCATCTAAAAATACACTGCGTATTCTGCATGCCTCAGTAACCCCCACCGGCTTCATCTGCGTGGATTTAGCCATTGACCTACACACACTACAATGCAGGCAGTCTTGGCTGGAAGCAGCAGAGAGCAGAAACCATTAACCTTAAATATATACATGGGAGGGACGGATATATGCTCCTTTCTCTCTTGTGACCCTATAGAAACCTTGCAGGAGAAGCTAAGGGAGGACCTGACTAGCTCACGAGCAAAAAACCACCCTGATTAGATCCATGCTAACTTAGCCTAGAGCCAGTGAAAGGAGGATGTGCTCTTTGAGAAAAGGAGGGATGAAATAGAATCCAAATTATCTCACAGTCAAATAAATCAGCATTTATTTATCCAAAGCCAGATACCTGAGGTGCAGCCCACCTAGTTTCTAGCATGTTCAGAGCTGAAAGTACGAAAGAGCTGACAACACAAGGGAAAAATCAGGGTTTAGCCTACAAAAAAGGTTCAGGAAGAAGGGAACTTGTAGCCACGCACATGAACACCCTGTCACACTTGGCAAACAGCCTCTCACCTTATCCTATTAAATGCACCTGCTGTCAGCAAACAGCGGGATGGTTAATTAAGAAAGTTATTTGCAGAAGTACTTTRAACAGGTTTAATTACACCCCTATTCAGCACCATGTACTTTCTGGATTTATAGTCTGCAATGTAGCTTCAACAAGTTTTAAACAAGAAAACCATCTCAGCAAGCTTGGAGGGGGAGAATTTTATAAGTGGTATAATAACAAATAGTGATTTATTTCCCAAAGCAAGATTAAAAGCTCCAAGGTCTGCTGGTCGTGCAGTGCTACTTCAGTCTCTTTGGAAAACACAACCCCACCAGCATGGCATAGACTGCATGCAGAAAAAAAGTGCATTTGAAAAATGCCCAGTTTAAGAATGACAAAACTCCTCTTTATCAAGTACTTTTATAAATTTGTTCAACTTGAACCTGTGATACTCATGAGGAAACAGAAATATCTGCTAAGGTAGGAAAAACGTCTATACAGTCAGAAGATTGCTAAAAGGTGCAACAGTCAATAAACCTTATCATAAATTTTCTCTCCAGGAGTTGTTTTCCCAGTTGGCTCACTCATAAATTAAGCACATTTTAATATAGTGACATTATTTTTCCCAAAGTCAATGTAATAATAAAAAACTAACTTTTAAATTAAGATTTCACTGAGAAGTTAATTTGCCAAGAGCTTAATCTGTTCTAACAAAAACTGTTTGCTATATAAAGCGCTGAGGCTTGAACCCAGACAGCAAACTCCATTATTTCCAGACAAGCTCCACTTTATTTGCTGTATTACCTGAAGTATTTAAATTACAAAGCAAAATATGCTTGACCGAGTGATCATAATTATTATGAATTCCACTTGAATAATGGAGGTAGAGGCAACAAAAGTCATCACAAATGGGAACTACAGGCGAATATGAGCACGGTGCCCTGTACTGGAATGTAAAGTTTAGGTCTTTACATCACAGATTCGGCAGGAAAACATCTGCCTTCGGGATCATACTTAATAACTTTGTAAAATTTAATAAAAAGAACAGCTCTTATAAGGATTTAGCACTTCTGTACTGCACAACAGAGCTCATGCTGCGTGTTTCTACATTATATCCTGACTATTCCTGTAGTGCCTTAATGACACAATGGCATTTAACCAGCAGCTTCATGTTCCCAAAGGAATCCAAAGTAATCTCCACACCACACCTAAAACTCAGACCTTGGACACAGTCGCCTCTTTCCTTTTCAATATTGTATTTTCTCCCGATGTCTAATTTCTTTGCTCCACACTGTTGAAAGCAGCTTGAACAGAAAACATCTTCTTCCAACTATGTCATCACGGCACCGAATTAAGATCTCTTCTAAATAGGACCCGAGCACCTTGTTTCAAAAGAGCAGGTTGGGGTGAAGGCAGCAGGAAGCCTTCACCATCTGCAAAATAAGCCTCCCACATCCCAAAATTACCCGGAGCTAGGACAACTGAGGCTCGTAATGCTCATAAAGCCATCAAGACTACAGGAGAGACATAATGAACACCGAATTAAAACTGAACTTATTAATCTTTTATGGCATTTTTAGGATTTTTTCTGCATATAAACACGCACACAAAGCCCTGASGTAGATGACAGGCTGTAAAACTGAAGGCAACAGGCAGACCAGGGTAGGACATGGGGAGAAAAGGAAGAGTTAAAAGAGAATTCTTGGCCCCACATTCACAGCCATGTCTGAAATATCAATAAAACCCCTTRGGCTTCAGATTTCCAGGCAGAGAGGTGTTGGATGGGCTCAGGGTGTAGCCTGAGTCTGGTCTGGGTCACTAAAGTCTATCATGAGCTCAAGTCTCTGACAAGCAGCTCCATTAGATTAGCTTATCTTTTATCACTCAATAAAGAGACTGCTCACTGCTCTTGGGCTTTTATCTAACAACTGCCTTCTGGCAGTTGATGAATCTTGGCTATTTCCATAAATTTATCAATGGTGCATGGCTTTAGCACACCACTGCAGACTAGCTACAGCCTGAGTAACAATAATTATTCCCCACAGTTAAACTGTGATCCAGGGAAAATATATAAATAAAGYGATATGATCACAACAATCTTTWCAGAATGCACCAGAATGGCTGAGGATAATTAATCTACAAAACAGGATAATAGACAGCTTACTGATTTATCAGCTTGCTGACTTGAACCAAAAAGCAATAAGGCATTCAAGGAAGATACTATGTATTGCACAGATATTAGCAATATAGGATTATGGAAGTGAAGGAAACTCATTAATAGACTCCCACCAACTGTATTTTGTTTACTGGTTTCTTACCTGATCTGTTGTAATGAAATAGGTGTTTTAATTTGCTGATAATAATCAGGATACTTTTTCTTGGAGGGTAAATGGAAAAAGGGTTCAGAGATGAGCTGGCCCTGATTGTTTCGGCAGCTTCGAACGGTATCATAAAGCTGATAAAGAGGATTAGAAGCGTCCATGAAGGAAGTGATGCTCTCAGCTTCGGACTCTCCTTCTTCATAACGAGCTGCAGCTGCAGGGAAAAAAAAAAGGAAAATGGGAAACTCTCAGCAGGACAAGCCAGATTGAGGTTTTCTGTTTGGCTTTTCAAATGTACAAAGAACTGAGCGGAGCAAAATGTAGTGTCCCCAGATGAGGGAGCTCAGTCCCTCTCTGGGATGGTCAGATTGTGTCTCAGACAAGGATATCTGTCTCGATAAGCCCCAGCWAGTATAAAACCTCCTTTATCTGGATCACAAGTTCTCTTGTGAGAAAAATAAAAAAAAAGGTGAGACTATGGCCTGAAAGTACAACTCTAATATACAGCAAAAGGAAAGAGAAATAAAAAAAGTGTTGATTATATAAACAGCACAAACATATGATGTATGGATTTTAAGATCTCCCACTTATCTCCAGGAATTTTATTCCAATAGATAAGCTTGTGCTTCAAGATTAGGAAGAGTGAAAGAAGAAGTGCTACCAAGAAATAATCTTTACTGCAATTAGATGCAGGAGAAGCACTGCACGAACAGAAAGGCAGAAGGGATGAAAGGATTCAGGGGGCAGAAATACAGGATGGGAAGGAAGGAGCATCTATGCCTTTAGCTCTCCTCAGCAACAAGTGCAAATTGCACTCTGCAGAAAGGCATAACACAGAAACCTAGGCAYTTTTGCACAGGTTATTATCATCACATTAGCCACCTCTTTCCCCTCTTATGAATTATAGCTTGAAGGAAAGCYACGGATGACACCCTGGATAATTCAGTCGCAGCAAAAAGAGAGTTCTCCACCACTTGTATCATTTTTTCCATTACTGCTCCGTCAAGGCTGGCAACGCTCCAAGCTTTAATAGTGAAATGATGACAAGCCAAAGGACATTCTGACCCCRTAACACCACGGACCTATTAACAACCCTGAACATTATTTTTCCCTCTGCAACCTGACACGGCAGATCCACGTGAGCGCACGTGGCTAACTAGACAAGTGAGGCACAAGCTAAATTAGAAACAACCGAAGAGACGAGCAGGGAGACCTCAGCGGACGTGCAAACGCATTGCAAAAATCATGACTGATTTGGAAATATTCAAAATTATCCCAAAGATTTTCCTATATGTCAAAAGCATCGGGTAAGAGGCTGATGTCTGCTACGTGGTAGCCCGCAATGCAAAGAACGGGCAATAAACAGGTAGAAACAAAAGACTGGAAGTAACGTAGTGTTTTCTTCTCCTTCCCATTTCATCCTGTAAATATGATGGAATTCATATTTTCACTGAAATAAACACGAATGGTAAGAGATGCTGATCAGGCAAAGTAATTCTCCAAAATAGATTATGCAACAAAATATTATCTTCACTGCTGTTTGCGCTCAAGAAGTCGAGATTTCTTAGTTCTACTAAGAGTTGAGACTTAGTTGAGAGTTCTTAGCTCTACTAGAAACTAAGAAATAAATAAATAATGAATAAAGAAATATTCAAGAGGAAAAATTACTAGTAATGTGCATTTACATCCTAAGAAATACATGCAAGCAGTCCAGTTCCCTAAATGAGAAGTGTACTTGATTTTGATTTAAACACAGAATACAAGACTTTCCCCCCAAATAAGATCTAAATAAATTAAATAAGCACTAGCAGTGTTTCTTTCATCATTTCCTGAGTATGTAAAATAAATATTATTTGGCGTATCACATTAAAAACCACCACTTTATCTTGGTATTACAGTACTGCATAATGATGATGCCCTTCTACTAAAAGACCTGTTATCTTAACAGGTCAAGAAGAGATGACTCAAATCAGAAAAAGAGACAGAGAAGCAACATCCTACTGCAAAAATAGATTATTTAATAGCCAGAGGTCTCGTGTCCCCATTGAGAACAGGCCAGCAGCACAGGGTTGCAGGCAGTTATTCCCCTTTCATGCAGCTGTTTACATATCTACAGTTAGCAGCTATGGTAAAAAAGAATATGTGGCCAACCATAACCACAAAATACACCATTCAACAGGCTTAAATAAAATCTATTTCCCACTTTTCATCCTGCTCACAGTGACTGTTTCCTAATATAGTCTCATAGTGAAGCTCTGATAAATTGACTTTACTGCAAAGGGAGGAAATCATTTACTGCACAGCTGGAATTGAGCTGTGCTATCAGATACAGCTAGACTTATCATATATAAATACACTTACACAATGTTGAGGCAGAAAAGCAGAAGGGTGACAAGTATATGAATGTTTCTATAAGCAAATTAACCCTACTTGGCAAGTAACTTGCTTCCGACGCTGCCTCTCCTTTGCGGTCCCAAAGCACCTCGACAAGAACGGATGCTCAAAGCCACCTTGCCAAAGACAGCAGCCAAGTTCTATTCTTGGAGAACGGAATATTTATAAAAAAGCAAGTCTTGACAGTTTTGCAGCAAGGATAATTCTCAAGGAAGCTGCAGAAGCTCTTCAAGTCATAGTATTTTTGAGATGGGAATCCTCAACAAGCTTCACCATGGTGTGATCCCCACCATGAAACCCACAAGGATAAACTTGGAGGTGAAAACAGATGCTGTTCATTGTATAGACAGTATGTACGTGTTCTCTGTAATCACAAGGTCAAAGTTCTCTTAATGTTCAGTTACGCAGCCTAGTTCTCATTTATTTGGATGAGTGTTGAGGGAAAAGAGGGAAAAAAGAGACAGGAGGAAGAGGAAATAGCAAAAAACCTATACTTTAAAAAACTTTAAATGAAAATCCATCTCATCTGCAGAGGAAAACCCGAGCTAAGCAGTTCATCAGAGGGTCAGAAAACCGTAAGTGTGACAGAGGTTTGCCAACAGGTCAAAGATCTCAGCTGCCTACCAGAAACCTTGTCTGAATGACAATATTCATAGCATAGGTGGCACCTGAAGGTGGCTAAATCACATCAAGAATTTAAGAACAAATTTATGTAAAATAAAAGCTGTGTGTTTTCCCAGAATTTGTATGCAAAACCAGCAGCTAATCACCATGCTGAGCCACATCTCCCAAGGAAGGGGCTGGTCTGAACCCAGAATGGAAGTCTGGACTTCCCAGAAATAATATTTTATAATCTCCCAACTATAGTGGGAAAAATACTGTGCAATTCAAAGCAAGTGTGGAAATTTTTTCCTACTCTATCAGCAGTTCATTTACAAATTATTATGCAGAAGAAAGAGGGCCCAGATTTGATTGAATTTTACACTGGGTTTCAAAACACTGCAGAGTAAAACAAAGATAATTGAAAAAATCAGTGGCTCAACCATTCTGCTTATTCAAGACATTGTAATTAGAGAAAGGGAAAAAACAAATGCATTTTAGCTCCTACCAGCCAAAGCATCTTCCTCACTTTCTGATCCATACTGCAATGCCATGGTTATTGCTGATAAACGATCCCCCTGGGCTGATCTTTTGTTACTGTGGAAGAAAAAGAAAGAAAGAGAGAAGAAAGCTTTAAAAAAAGATCTCTTTTGTCATTATCCAACCACAGGTAATAGCCACCCAGAGAACAAAACCAAGCAAGAGAAGCTCGAGCCAGCAGCCTCCAGAATTGTTATCAGGTGACCAGACATGACAACCCAACAAGAAATGGGGGAGTTTAACAAAAAAAAAAAAAAAAAAAAACTTTAAATGGAGATGGTCTCATGGGTTTTTAAGAAGCAACCCATCAAACTGAGAAAAAAAAATATGATACACATTTTGAAAGCTAGAGCTTAAACTATCTTCTGTCCTATTCTAAGTATCCAAGCCCTTGAATTATTGCGATAATTTCCTAATATTTAACAACCTGCTTTCATCTCCTTCTACAAGGACTCGGCTGCATGAAGAACTGCAACATGCTGCAAGCTACACAAGCCAATTCCTCCCTTTTCCCCCTGCCCACTTAGTGTTTTCAGCACACGGAGCGCCCTGTTTCTGCAGAAGCTTCCTGTATTTCCCCAAAGGGGAATCTCAGCATGCACACGGGCTTCCACAAAGACCAGAATCACTCTTTTTCTCCCTCCTGCCCCAAATAAGGGGCAGCATTTCCTACCTACACCTTTGGCCATGTCAATCTTTGCTTTTGCAATGTCAATCTTTGCTTTTGCACTGCATCAGTTCCCTGAGCACCTACATGCCCAGGCTGAATCTTACCTTGTGGGAGCACAAAAGGAGCACAAATGGGTTGTTTAAACCAACACCATCTCTGAACAAACGCTCATCAAGCACCTTAAAGAGCCTCGCTGCTTTATGTTAAACCCTGGTTTTAGAATGTACACACAGGGAATTAGCCAAGAGGAGCTACAGCTTCATTCAGTAACCTCCAGACTAGGATCTAGGAAGATCAGCCCTCTGCTAGATACCGAAACTCTCAATTGATGGACGTCCAAAGCAGAAAGTTCTAGCAATCCAATTAACCCCATATATCTGCTTTAAATATGTCCCAACACTTTATTCGTCTCTCTCTTACATCTCCTAATTATTTAGTCCTACTTACTGTTCCTTTTCATCCTCCAAGTATATTTTCTCCTCCACTTCCTCTATGTTTCACATGCCTCATTTTGCTATACAGTCTAACATTGCTATTCCAAACGTTTCTGAGGAAATTGCTATCCATGGAGTATTTAACAACGAGATTTTGAAAACAATTAAGTCAATATTGATAATTAAAGAGCCCTCACAACTGAAAACAAACCCTTAAATGTCAATATTTCCGTTACGATGACGAGCCAGCCTCTATGCCAGGTCCACAATTTACTTACCGATAATATTTGTTAGCAGAATTTCTCTCATCGCCAACACTGCCTTTACCCTGTGAGGAAGGACCTGTCAGCTTGGAAGCAGTCAAATTTGATGGAGTCCTTAAGGCAGAAGAGACAAGCCAAGGAAAGGGGAAAAAAAGAGGCCCACCTTAGACCCAGGAAAAGACACAGCGAGGGTGTAGCTCTTTATGGAATTATTTTGGTAGCTCAGACAAAAGTTTCAGAGACAGACGTAAAATGTTATAAAGCTCAAAGTAAAGTAACACTGTAAGATACATTTAGTGGCCCGGTATTTTAATATCCATTTTTTTTCAATAAAGTTAGAAAAGTAACACGTAGATTGAGGGAATTAATAGCTACACATACAGTTCAGCATACGACAGCAGTGAAAGCAGCCAACAAAACGCTTCTTGGCACCTGGATAAAGTTAATCCAACTGTGTTTTTATCAACACCACAAAAATCTCTCTCAAGTCGCTCGTCGATCCACACTGCCAAGTAACTTTATTCTGGTCACCTTATTTAAGGGAGGAAAGGTAAATGCACAGGCAAAGAGAATTTGAGTGTGACAAAGCATACAAATAACTCGGCAATAAGATTATTTTTGACACAGAAGCCACGTGGTTGTAGGACAACAGCACTGGAATGAATTGGAGCCCGATCCATCCATGACAAAGAAAAACAGGTAAATATTCAAAAGACAAAGAGAGCTAAACAAACTTCAAATGAATTTATGGAGGGTTTTTTTACCAAAATCAGCAATAGGTAAAGCAGACTTCCCCGTTGAGACAATTAAGCAGTTATGAACTTAAATCAAAAATTCATGATTCTGTGATGTGGATTAAGCAGGGGAAAAAAAAAATAAAATGAATTACAGGAACCAACAAAATGCTTCAGCACAGCAGGTGAAAGGCTTTTGGATTTTAGCAAGCTTTTCTTTCTTCCAGATTTTTTATTTCTTTTGCATTAGAGGCAAACAGTTCAATGTTATTGTAACCTACCTCAGGCACAACAAGTATTTGCAAAGTTACAGAAACGAAGGCAGGAGCTGTAAAATTATTCTGTCATTAAGGCTACTTCTGCCCTTGTAGATCTATTAAGAACTTCAGAGAACATCTAGGATAAAGTAGCTGAGGAGCAGAGATGGGTTGGCAGTACCAGAGAGGAATTCAACTAAGAAATATGATTTACCTGTCATCCTTTTTTATGCAAACAACTGTCTTGAGAAACAGTAAAATAAATCTTGAAATCAAACACATGCTTGTGATGTCCTCAATGTCATCAGTGCCGATGTAATAAGAGAAAAATCAGTTCACCTATAAAACCCTCATACCCATATGCAATTCTTGTTACTCGAGAGCAATTACACGCACGTATTTAGGTGTTTCCTGAATCAAGATCTTCTCACACTACTCATACTTTTTAGAAGGAAAATTATTAGAAGACGTATCAAGAATTACTCCTTAATAGTATTTCTGCTTTTACATTTTCCTGCTTTTACATTTTCCTGCTTTGTAAAGTGTTTTGCTCAGCATTATAGCTGTGAGAACATTTCACCTAAACATGGGAAGCAAGCTGGCATTAAACAAATGGAACACAGATGAACAACTTGGAATGTATCAAAGCACCACACAGTAAAAACCAAGGGGGGAACTTTTACCTCTTACAATAACCTTAGGTACAGCTTTTAATACCAAAGTCATCTTTTGTCAGACAAACAGTTGTCAGACAAAAATAATTTTTTAAATTCCAGTAAAATAAAGAAACACCAGTACAGTCAGTTATAGCATACAAACCTCTGCTAGAAAGGAGGAGGATTTACCTTTTCGTATCAAACGCCATTCCAAAAAAGCCTGCAGCTCCTTGGTGACTCTTGGAAGACTTGGAAAAGGCTTTTTTTTTTTTTTTTTTTTTTTTTTCCTTCTCCTCCCCTTTTCTTTCTTTTCCTACCCCTCTATCCCCTTTTTCTTTCTTCTTTTTTCTCTTTTTTAATATATGACAATGATCATATTAGCAAGTAAACTTCTGAGAAGGCTTCATAAGAAGAGTATATACAAGGATAAATCCCTTCGTATCTTAAATAATACCTCTAAAATGACTGTTGTTTCCCAGGTGAAGCAACTGTGAACTGTAAACTTACTAAACAAATATATACCAGATCTTACAATYGCTAGCAAGGTTCACAAAACTCTRTATTTTTGGAAAACAGAACAAAATACCTGGTTTATCATTATGACTTTACTGTTCTTACTTATAAATGCAGATAGTGAAAGTTGGTCATAGTTTAAGTTACAAAGACCTACTGACACCACTGAACATATCACAAACATTTCATCATAGAAGAAATGGAAGAAAAGTTAAAAAAACCATTATCCTCCTAAAACGTATTCCTTCAGTTTGTAACTTTTTAAAACATATAAAAATCCAAGAATGTCTATAGAGATTTTTATATGAGATGTTAAGCAGAACTCTATTTACAGTACCTGATTCGGAGACTTGACTTGGCCAACTCACTGTGTTCAATTTCAGCCTTTTTCATATTAAATATTTTTTTTATCGCATTTGCATCCTGTTAATTAAAAGAAATTCTTTTGTTTGAAGTTGAAAATGACGATTTTTACAGTTAGGTAAATACACAAGAACAGAATAARTCTTTTTTTTTCTCTTTAAGCAGCTTTGCATGAGAAAAAAGCAAAGAAAAAGTCTGCCTTGATAATAGCCCTACAGTGTTTATAAAACTGAAGAGCAAAGTTGAGTAGCTTCAGGCTTATTTTTTGTCATATCCTTTTAAATAAAAATCAACAATGTACAAACAAACAGCACTTTGAATTGAACAGGCAGATGACCCGACTAACCTTGAATACTTGTGATCCAGGTTCATTGTAGGTTTTGGCATTCTTTGCTAGAAGATCTATATCCTTGGCCATTGCATGAATGCTTTTATACGTTCCATTCTGCACAATAAAAGATAAAAATAAAATTAAATAAATAATAAGACAGAATGGATTAGCATGGTGAGCTGCAGACAGTGAGAGAATGAAATTAACAGTGAAAAGTAAACAGAACTCACATCAAATAAGGAGAACATATTTATCTGCCAGATAAGTATCTGGATGAATTTATTAGAAAAAGAAACCTATGACACTTGAATAGCTCAAACTCTACCTGTATCCTTTGGGCAATTGTTTTAAGATCTATGGGCTCCTTTATTATTGCGTAATAATCTGGATATTGCTGGAAAACAAAAACGCATGYATTACTACAAAAAGTCTCATTTCTTGCAAGTTCTTGTATTAGCTATTGTTAAAGATTAATGGCAAATGAGAAGAATAATGTAAGCTTCATATACGCAGCACTAGGCCTTAATTCAGCAGACTAGATCATAAGTCTGATAACATGCAAGTATATTTCCTTAATAAGCAGACATAAACAAATAATTCTAATTGAAAGCAAAGTGTCTGACGGCAATATCGAGAGTTTCTTTTTGTTTGCTTGCTTTTTTTTTTTTTTTTGGTTATGCCATGCTCTAAATCAGAAGACTCAAATTAGCCAGGTTTAAAAAGATTAAAAATACAGTCAGTCAGAAAACTTTAACTAATTTAAATAGCAAGCACCAACCCACAGTGGCAGGGCTGGGAAGGAGCAACTGAGAGCTTAGAAAGGAGGGAAGCTCAAAGAACACCTGGATTTTGCTACTGGTAAGACATAATGAAGAATCACATTCCTAGTGTGGGTGTCAGAGTCTTGTGCAACATCATTTTTACAARTTTCCAGATTCTAAACTTGAAACAAAATCAATATTACTAAAATACCCACCACTTTAGAAGGAAGTTTCTGAAACAGTTCACTTATGAGGCGACCTGATGGGTTTGTGGCAACAGCTACAGCTTCAAGAAGCTGTTCAAGAATCTCCTTCAGGTAACCTGGAGATGACTAATAGAAGAAATGAAAACACACGATGCTCTAATGACAGTCATAGCAAAGTACTTAAATGCATGTATTTATAGTGTAATTTATTTTTCAAATACAGCAAAGATCAGCTATAAAAGACATGTGCAACTACTGCTTATGTACTTAGGAAAAGCACAACAGAAAAATGTAGTGCCAAATTTACACTGCATCTTTTAGATGTACACTGTTAGAATAAMAATAGCAAAATTAATAATTTTTTTGAGAACACGCATCCCAACTGCGCACAAACCTACACTTACCAATTCAGAATTTCCACCTTGATTGTCATGTCCTTCCTCATCTTCCTCCTCCTCCTCAGCATCTCCTTTTTGAACAAACTCATTTTTTGTGCGCAAATACAACTCCCATAGTTTGCAGGCAGCTTTATATTCAGGAGAATCAGGCTGCAAAAATAAGTCAGGCACATTTACACCAGCCTTAAAACCTTGTTAAAAATCCTGACTTTAAGTGAAGTAAAATTCTTTTAAGCATAAATTCTTAAATGAAATACACTTACTGCATTAAATAATTAGGGAAATTACTGGTTCTTCAGCAAAGGTGTTTTAAGAATGGTAATAAACACTAGAAAAAAACATAGACAGGCCAAAGCATGCAAGTCTCTGGGAAAACTCAGCAATTAAACTATTTGGGTTGAGGCTTGGACACACCTCAGTGAATCTGGAAAGGTTCTGAAGCAGAATAACTAAAACCCTGAAGGTTTCCCTTCCAGGGCGCCATTGCCAATAATACACCTGCTGCAACAAAGATTTCGACAACGAATCAGCCTTCCCTGTTTCAGATGAGTCACTGGAAGCGTGTGGGTAAGGTGAAGATGAAAAGAGAGGAGGTTTTGCTTCTGTSTTGCACCTGCAGCTCCCAACGCCATATTTTTCCTGTCAATAATATTCCTATACACCAGAAAAAAATAGCTACAATTTCCTTTGCCAAATGCAAGATTTGAAAGACACAGGTGTAATCCTGAAGCCAGTGTTCTGCAGGCAAAGGCCGCACACATTTTGTAACCTTCTAACCATCCTTTCCTACCATGAAAAAGCCATGCAAAGCTTCAGGAGTGCAGGTCAACTTGGRGATCTTAGTGCTTTTTGTGCTATAACCAGAATGTATAAATCTATTAATGCATAAGTCCCCCAGACATATCTATGCACACAGATCTATACACAAAAAAATATTGCTTTTCTGCAAAAGTCACTTAGTGGGGTGGGTGGGTTATTCAGAAAGGACGTCGGTCTGAATTATTTGGATCATCTCCAAAGCTAAAAACACAATAAAGAAAATGTTAGCAGCTAACTTTCAGATTTGCTCTATAATCTCAGTTACAACATACACTTTAATATATCTTTTTACATCTCAAAAGGCTGCACAGAACTTACCTCCTTCAGTTCGAAGGTTATGCACAAAATAATTTTCTCAATGTATGTCTCCTTTATCTATTTTTGTGCTCTGCCTCTTTTTCAGATAACARCTCACAGATACCTACACCACGTATTTTCCTCACCTTATAGTAGGCCTTGGCGTTGTTAAAGAGCAGCTGGAAGTCAGCAGTCAGCACGTTCACGTCGTCATACTCCTCCATCTTGAGCTTTTGTTGGATTTTCATTAAATCAATTGGCTGAGAAACCACTTCATAATAATCTGGCTGATTTCTGTTATTGCAAAAATGGGCATATTCTATTTTTTAGACACACTTATGACTAAATCAAAAGTGTTCCAATACATTTGTGTTACAGTTGAACTGTCTAGAGTGCATTCTATTAGAAAACATTCAGTATTATTTTATGTTACCATTGTCATTTTTAGAGTATAAGATAAAATTTAACTTCTCACTTCACCTACTGTACTGTCAAGGATCACTCTTATTAATCTTCCCAAGAATTAACATAAGTATTTCATTCCACCATTTCTCAAATGCATTTCATAGGCCAAGCAGTAAAAACTCAAGGCAGTTGTCACATGAAACATTTTGAAATCAGTATTTCTTCTTTTAGACCATAAGCTGGCACAGTCCTTTGAAAAATCACAACAAACACTCTGGTCAAACACTGTGTTTTAAGACTGTGGCAAATTTAGTTTAAATTTTCCATGGCTAATAATAGTGAATTATTCCTCAATGTTCATTTTTCCCGTGGGTTTGAGGCTAAAAAGAAAGAAAAAGGAATAAAAATGCTATGCCTTACCTTCTTTTTGGCGCCCTAATGAAAAGTTCACAAAGGAGCCTGCCCTGTTCATCTTTGTAATCTCTGATTGTGTTGTAAAGCTCATGGCATACAGCAATCTAAAAATGCAGGAAAAACAATAAAAGAGAAAAAAAAAAAGAAAAAAGCAAAAACAAAGAAAATTGTCAGGAGATAATAAATAAAGGTCTGCTCACAATGAGTAGGTTTAGATGCCATTATACAACGTGCTCTAATGTAGAAGTGTGGAGAACTTGTTGCATCTCATAAGTTAGTACTATATTTGACATCCTCGCATGCTGTGGATTTTTTTTCTTCTAAAAACAAACAAAAAAGGGAGCTTTATTTCACTAACAAATAGTACTACAAAAAAAAGACTACTAAGAAAAAAAAAAATATATATATATATAAAAAATTAATTCTATGTTACTCTCCCTGGCTTACAGRCATCAAAACCAGCAAGGGTTCTGCTGCACTGCCATTAAAATTAGACTGGTAACTCAGGGGCAGGACAAAGCCATGGTATATTTTAGCACCGTACTTTGCTAAAATGTACTTCACTGCTTTGCCCTTCTCTACTTATCTCCTTCTGAATTTGTTATTCAGCCACAGCTTTCAACTGCTGCACTTGGGCTTAAGCTCTCTCTCCAATCTTCTTTCACCTGCTAAAATAACTGGCAAAAAAAGAAGGAAAGTAGGAAAGAGAAGGGCAAAACTGTGGAGATGAGAGCAACCAGACAAAGCTGAATGAGATGCTACAGAAGCTCAGCCAGGGCAGTGCCACATTTGAGGCATGACGAGCCACCACACGTGTGCCAATGACCATGACATGTGCATGATGATCAAGTGCACGGCAAATATCAGTTTGAGAGCAAGGGATACAGCGTTCCCAAGGAAAAAAAGTGAATAGTAGAAAGGTACTAACGGGATCCACGGTCGGGAGATTGGAAAGTCTCCTCCTCTTCCTGCTTGGGCCTGGTATGTTCGTGGAGTGGTGGCCATCGTCAAAGTCTCCTCCGCTGACGCTGCTGGAAGGCGAGGTGGCTCTTCGCCTCTTGGAACCCATGGAATCCAACTTCTTCTATAATGAAGAGACACGTTCTTAAACTCATGGCAGTGCAAGCAAACGCTGYGGTGGGAGAGCGCTGCCTCTTAACCTAGTCATGCTTTAGGAGGGCTCACATAAATTGGTTACGTGTTATAATTTATTCAAGCAATCTCTAAACACCAGCCAGGTTCTTGGAAGTTGACAGAGGTAAAGGGTAATGGAAATTGTCCTGCAGCTTTATGCTGTCACTGACCATAGCTATGTCAGAAAGGACTCAAGCAGAGCAATAAAGATAAATTGAGCAGTTCATAGTATGATACTTTCTTCAAGCAACCACACTTTCTTATGAATGGGATGAGGACTCAATTAAGTAGGAACTCCTACGATAATGGAGAGAAACTGCACAGAAAGTAACGCTCAGTTCTGATGCAAATGCATGCTAAGACATGCCCAAAACAAACAAAACAAATGACAAACTARAATTCGAGCTGGTACTGAATACCTTGTCTTAGAATCACACCGAAAAAAGGCCATCGTGTGACCCACAACTCCCACTTTAAGTATAGGGCAAATGGTACAATCATCAGGAAGCCAAAAATCCACCTCCTCGTTTGGTCACAGGTTGTGTGATCAACATGAACAGCAACAAATGAAGAGCCACCCAACAACAAGGGATTTATGGAGCAACTTGTTGGCTCTTTCCCAATTTCTAGTGACAATATTATAAAAATATCTTGACACAAGGTATGGCAGTATGACCTAACTGCATGACAGCACTCGTATTAGAGTCAGAATTCATTTCAAGCACACAAATGAGACGAACAGGAATGAAGCAGGAGTAATTCATGGTTAATTAAAGAAAAGCACAGCCTAAGGTAGAGGAATGAAGCGAATGGTGCACAAACAATCAATAATTTACCAGATTTACCAGAGTACAACCAGCACCTCGAAAAGCCAGTCTCCTCATAGTGTCTGATGGCCAAGTTAAGGTACTGGGAGAAGGTAAAACTCAGAGTATCAAATCAGCAATGGTGTTAGTACAATCAAAACTGAAAGACAAGAAGAAGCAAAGGAAGATTGAAGAATATCCAGACTTGACAGATAAAGAGCAACACTAAAGAATTAATTGAAGAATAAAGAATGAATAGAATAATAGTTGAAGAATAAAGGGAGAAGAGACATAAAAGGAAGGAAAGGGAAAACATTAATTGATTTTACCTTAACAAAAACTCTACAAAGCCATTCTGCATAGACATTTCTGTAACATTTACATTAAAAACACATTTTTCTGGAAGCATATTACAGATTTCACAGTCACTTGGAGGAGAATGATTCATCAACCGGAGCAGCGAGTAAAGAGAAGTGATATTTGATCTGAGATTAAAAAAGACAGCAGTAAAACTTGAGGAATGTGGAGTAGTACAGCAATCACAAACACCAGAGAAATCTTAGGTTCCAGAAACACTTGTCTCTCTAGTGATGAGCTAAGTCTGCAGAATGGATCTTTATCCTTGTGAGCAAGAAGCATTAAATACCTGTCCATACTGTTGCACCAAAGATATATGTATGGATGTATGCTTATATATATATATATATATATATATATCCTTCAGTTTGTAAGGAGTCTTTGAATCCCTTTTCCTGATAAATTCCATGCAGAATGCACGGAATCATTTTAAGACAAAATAAGATGCCTTTAGTTAGTTCATATAGCTATTGTTTGTAAACAAAACCAAGCAGAGATTACTGGTTTTSCTATTAACCATTCTAGCCATTTTTCCAAAGGGAGGAGCTTTGTGCTTTACTTGCAGGCAACGTGTCTTAAGCTGCAGCTTTTGGCACTGCCCACGACTTTCAGCTGACAACGACAGTATCAAATGGCCAGCACCAGACCCGTGCTGGCGGAGACAGCCAGAAAATACAAATTCTTGGTTGYGAAGAAAGCCAAAAGCAACTGAAAACAGCATTTCCAGACTGCGTTTGAGGAGAGACATACGGTCCATTCATTCCGCAGGAAGGGAGACCTGAGGAAGCTCGCGCCTGCCCTGCCTGTGCATTTCACACAAGTTTCTTCTCCTTCACTATCCCAGGCACATATAAACACTTGTAGATTTTCCTTTAGCAACTGAGGAACATGTAAATCTTACAGCATATTTTGGAGATTGAGAACACAGGGAGAGACTCACAAAAAGCTCGTATAAATGTCAGGCTCCGGAACAGGAGCTTCTCTCTGGACCTCCAAACACGGATAATCCTGACGTGCACCGAAAAAYAGGCTGGGTTCATGAGCTGTAGCCTTTTTCCCTGCAACACAACCCCCGGCTCACAGATTTTCCACAGGTTGCATCCCCATTGCCACGAACCAACCTGCAAAACGGCCCCTCGCGCCCGTGCCACCCCTGAAAACGTTATCTCCACAGGCCACCCTTTACCTATACGGACATRTATCACATGCTGGGACACGACCCGCCCTGAGAGGCTCCCCAGAGCGAGGAGCCTCAATGTTTTTATCCAGCCCGGCCCCAACCCGTGAGGTTTTCACAGGCCTTGGAGATAACACGCGCAGAACAAGCAGGTTCGCGCCCACGTTTAACTTTCTGCCTTCGAATAAAAGAGTGAAAACAAACGGGTAAACAAAAGCTACCCAGAAAACGCCGTAGGCGCGGACAAAGCAATCGGAGATTAGCGCGTYTGAAGAAAAACGGGCGCTGAATTAAACGCGGCAGGGGGGAGCGAGAGGGCTGCCCGGGCCCCCGGGACCGGCACCGGGCACCAGGTGGGTCCGGGCGCCGCCGGCGAGGCCGAGGGGAACAAAACGCCCCTTGGCGGCGCCGCGGGGCGGCTCAAGCCCCGACCCGCTCCGGTCACGGCGGGCTCGGCGCCCAGGCCCGGCCCGTGACGGCGGAACGCGGCTCGGCCCGGGGCCGGGCCCGGCGGCGCCTGCGCCTCGGCCTGCGGGGCGGCCGGGCGGCGGAGGTGGTGCGGGAGGCCAGGGCCGCGCGCCCCCTGCTCTGTGCCCGCCGGGCGGAGCAGGCGGGCAGTTAGGAGGGCAGCAGGCTCCGTGGAGCTGTGTTCCCCCAGACGAGGCGACAGGGGKGACACTTGTGCCAGTTTTGTGTAAGGAGAGTTAACCTGCAGCCCCCCCGGGTGAGGAGAGCTTGCCTGCCCCTTTCCTAAGCAAGGTTCCACTACCCCCTATGTCCAGTGGAGCTGCTTGTCCTCACAGACTTTCCTGTTTTCAATAGTAGAGGTGTCTGAGATTAAAATGTATCAAGTGAGGTCAATGTCCCCTTTACAANAAAGCCCGCCCGGCCCCGCGCGACACCGCGGCGGGGGAAGCGCCGCGCCGCGCCGCTTTACGGCAGCGCCCGCCACCGGCGGGCGGAGGGAAGAGCGCGGCCTCGCACGTGGCGGCGCGGCGGCGGCGCCATGAAGCGGCCCAGTGAGCGGCGGGGCGGGCAGCGGAATGGCGGGAGCGGGGCGGGGGTAACGGCCGGCCGCCGGGGCTGGGCTGAGGGCTGGTAACGGCCGCGGGGAAACGGCGGGTAACGGCCGCCGGGCCTGAGGTAATGGCGGGGGGGGGTAAAGAACGGCCGCTGGGGCTGAGGTGAGGGCGGTAACGGCTGCCGGGAAATGGCGCGGGGGGCGTTGGGGGGCGTTGGGGGACACTGAGGGACACTGAGGGACCGGCCGGGGTCGGGCGGCACTGACGGCGGCACCGTTGCAGAGCTGAGGAAGGCGAGCAAGCGGCTGAGCTGCCACAAGCGCTACAAGATCCAGAAGAAGGTGAGCCGGCCTGCACACACACACACACACACACACACATATATTTTTCTCCAATATCTGCAAAAAGGAGCTGTCTCCCTTCCCCTCTCCTTGGGGTGGGTGACTGCCACTGAGGAAAATGTCCTTTCCTGCCTGCAGATCAGGGAGCACCACCGCAAGCTCAGAAAGGAGGCCAAGAAACGCGGCCGCAAAAAGCCCAGGAAGGATCCSGGCATTCCCAGCGCTGCCCCGTTCAAGGAAGAGCTGCTGCGTGAGGCCGAGCAAAGGAAGCAGAGGGTAAAAATCAAGAATTTGGTAGAGATAAGGGTGGGGAACGTTCCTGTAAGGAAGCTTGGTGTGTACGTGTGCACATGCAAACCCAAAGTGCACTCCTGCTAGATTGTGAATACTCTTAGGTGATACAGATTTGGGAAAATTTACATTTTTTTCATTTCCAGCATTATACTGTGTGTCACAACTTCCCCTCATTTTTAACCCATTTCATATAAGTCGTATAGTAACTGCAAGCCTCCTAGAAGTGTCAATTCTAATATAACTAGAATTACCTCTGATAAAGTAACTAAGATGAGCWGTTCCATCAGAGCCCCAGAAGTTACATCTGGACATTAAGTGACTATCCAGAAGACTTTCTTACTTCCTTAGAAGGTGGTATAACTGGTTTGGCTTTTGTTTGCTTGCAATCAGCTCGAAGAACTAAAACAAAAACAGAAACTTGACAGACAGAAGGAACTTGAGAAGAGGAGAAAGCTTGATGCGAAGAAGAATGCAGCCAAAATCAAGGAAAACGCTGAGGGAAAGGTGTGTGTCTGATAAGATTTTGATTCTTGGAAGSTTATAGAAGGCATAAAGTTGTTCTAAAAGGTCATCTTCTAAAGATGTGTATTGCACAATATATTTTTATGCTGTCAGGAACATAGTTTGTAGCTGTTACCTGCTACTGTACTAGCATGTAAGTGTAGTGTATAATACACTAATTTTCTTTCAAACTATTTCCTTTCATCGTTTGCATTTAGGAATCCTCCAAGAAATCTAGAGCAAAGACTAAGAAGCTGCTGGATAAAAATTCACCAAAATCATTTTGCAGGGAGCTTGAGAAGGTGAGCTATTTCAGCTATTTTCATGGAATTTGGTGAGCATCAGCGATGAAACACTTTATTTTCCTTTTCTGCATTAGTCTGCAACTGCTATAGCATATAAAGGATATTTGATAAACTTCCACATCGAGCTAAGCAATTTTGTTAGAAGCTTTGAGGGTTTCAGTCTGTTCTAGAGTTAATACCTTTGTTCTAATCTAGGTGATTGAGGCCTCAGACGTGATCCTAGAGGTTTTGGATGCAAGAGATCCACTCGGCTGTCGATGTCCTCAGCTGGAGCAAGCTGTTTGCTCTAGACGAGACAAAAAGCTGCTGTTGGTTCTGAACAAAATTGGTAAGAAACATGAGTTTTCTGGCAGTGTTATTCAGTCAGGGGGTGGGTTTGTGCCAGCTGAGCTATGAAGACGACTTTAAAGGAGTCTGAGGTTCCACTGAAGACATAAGATCCAACTCTGAGCTCACTGCGCTGTTGAAGGGGTCATGTTTGCCCTAGCTTTTAGTCTAAGTCACTTAAAAATAAAAAGAGTAATTTCATGTTAGCTTTTTGTTCACAGTGGTGTTTGAACCTGCTGTCCAGTCTGTCAAAATCTCRCAAAAGTTAGAGATTTTACAGTATTTCATATTTGGGAAAATAGGTGGCTAGGCAGAGGCCACTGTAATAGTCACCAGGGAGGCAATGGTGAATTAAACATCAGCAAATTAACACAGTAGTTGTGTCAGGGGCCTGGCTTTGGAAAGCATTTTCTTTTTACTGTGGCTCAAGGGAAGAATCCACCCGAACATAGTGGGTGAACAAGCAGTGAAGGCAAAGGGAACTTTGTGTTAGAGTTGCCTTTGCAAGCATGATGGTGTAATTCCTCACCTAACATCTGTCCTTTTACCATACAAAGTCTCCTAGCAGAACACCAACTTTAAAAACCTAATAAAATAGCTGAAAATGCAATTGTGCAGATTTTTTGGGGGCAACATGCCTGATATTTCACCAGAGCTATGCATGAGAGTGAAAAAAACATCAGTTTTTCAAGTGAAACATTGTGTAGCATAAGAAAGTATACTAAACAGATAAAAATATAGCCAGGTTCCCAATTCCATGTTAGATTTACTCCAGGCAAAGATTCTGAACATTCATGCCCTTTATTTTCTAGATTTGGTGCCAAAGGAAAACTTGGAGAAATGGTTGAATTATCTGAAAAACGAATTTCCAACAGTTGCTTTTAAGTCRGCAACACTGCTCAAGGACAGAAATATGGTAAGAGGCACTACAGGGTCTTTCATGAGTTGAAACACGTTGATAATCAGGAACTTCTGTTCTTTAAACTATTTTTCCCTTGTTTGATTACACTACTGACTGATAGATTTGCCTTCATGCTTTCACTGAGATTCCTAATAGAGTAGGGAAATTCCTGCTGTTGCAGGAGAGTAAAAATGCATCTTTTTACCGTGAGGACACTGAAGGGAGGAAGATGAGAAGCTTCTCATCTATAGAGGGAGGTTGCACCAGTTACATTAGCATCTTCCCATGCAAGTGAACTGGTTTGACTTGCTCTGCCACATCCTTTCTAACCTTGGCCATCACAAGGGGCAGCACGTGGTGTTATTTCTTGAAGAGTACCACTGAGTTAGCTCCCTGCCTGCAGTGAATTTATCTTCCTGAATAGCTACTGTTTTCTTTCCTCTCTCTTTTGCTTTTGAATCCTGTAGCTGGAGAAGGTGAAAAAAGGAAGTGCACGTATTGAGTTATCCAAAAACACGGAGTGTTTTGGAAGCGAGTGCCTTTTGAAACTTCTTCGTGAGCACTGCAAGACTCGAAACAAAGCCATTCAGGTTGGGGTAGTAGGTAAGGGCTGGGAAGATGAAAGGGGTTTCCTTTTCCTATAAAATTTTGATATCCTTTACTACAAACTGTATGATATTAAAACAACTTATGTGCAGCCTCTCACTTGAGGCTGTGAGATGCTTTTAGGCCTTCTCTTCACCGTTTGCTCTTTTATCAGAGGCTCACTATTGCAATACTTAAAAGTTGTCAGTGATTTTGCACTTAGGTGTGTGTGATCTGTGAAAAAAATCACATCATCTAAGCCCTAAGTTGGTTCACCAGCTTGAATAAGCACGATGGGCAGGCTATATGTCACTCAGCCTACGTCGCCTTTCTTCCATCTCCCATTCAATAATTCCTTTCATGTCCCTTCTACTTTTAGTGTGAGAAATGAGGATAAACACCTTGTCTTACTTATTTCGTGAAGACTTCAGATCCAACTCTGATCTCACACTGAATATGTGCATTTTATACTAAAGACACTTGTAAGAGGCAGCTGTGGTTAGCGTTACATAGGCAGAGTTTTCTTTCTTAGAAGGATTTCCATGTTTTCCTTCAGGTTTCCCAAATGTGGGGAAGAGCAGCATAATCAATGGTCTTAAAGGAGCTCGTGCTTGCAACGTTGGCCCAGCAAGAGGCGTGACCAAGTAAGCTGACTGATAAAAGCTGTTCGTAGCTGTATTCCGCTTACCTTAAGTCTCTTTATTCCTTGTGTGCAGTTTCTGTGCTTTTCTACCCCATTRTGCTGCTTTAAGTGCACATCTGAATTTGCCAGGATAAGACACACGCCTGTACATCCAAGGTGTTATGGAAGAAGCTTCCCCTTTWCTGCCTGTAAAATTTATGTTCCATTTTCTGCCATACACAAAGCATATGATGAGAAAGCCTAAAAGCTGACTCCGTGTGAAGCGTGTTCAATCCAACACTGAGCTTTGTGTCTTGCTTGCTTACTTAAGGCTGTCTTTTCCTGGCCAGTTTTTCTACCTGCAGCACACTTGTCTCCGTAGGGCCATGCAAATTGTGCCTGTCGATAAACAGATGAAGATTTTAGACAGTCCAAGTATTGTGGCAGACCCTTCCAACAGCACCTTGGCCCTGGCCTTGAGAAGCATCATAGACACTGGAGAATCAGGCTTGACAAATGTAGTTGAAGGAATAGATGCCATCATAAGCCACTGCAATAAACAGCAGGTGAGTCCATCCTCCCTTCCACACCCTCCACTGCATTCAGCTCCTGTGCATTACCCACACAAGGAGGCAAACTTTGGCTGCTGAATCCAACACACACGATCTTTGATCCTCCCAAATGAGAGGCAGGCACAGCGTGCCAGCATTCTCTTGAGTCCATTTTGTCAATAACTTCCCTGCTTTAGAAAGAAAATGTTTTTAAGGCTTCACCAGACTATATCAGAAACAGAGTGAGAAATGAAGACTTTCCTCCAATTCCTTATTATTGCAGTGAAGACCTCAGATCCAACTCTGATCTCACTCTTGTTTCAGTTAGATCAACATAAGCCGAATTTCCATCCTATTCCATATTTAGTTGGTCTTTACAAAAATATGCTGTTTTCATAAGCCCACTGGTAAAGATGAATTGCAGGTGAATGTGCTGAAGTAGCTATTTTCCTCTGTAATGTTTAGTCCCAAATGCAAGACTACTTTATATAATTATTTCTCATTGAAACCAGATTTAATTTGTTAACTTAATGCTAAAGCTTGAGAAAAACGAGTCACCCAGGTTTCTTTATGAATGCAACATTTTCTTTTGTTTTAGGTGATACTGTTCTACAGCATCCCCGACTTCAGGACCACRGAGGAGTTTTTAACTCTGCTTGCTCAGAAAAGGGGCATGCTGAAGAAGGGAGGGCTTCCTGACACCGAGAATGTGGCCAGACTACTGCTTTGTGACTGGACAGGGTATGTAAGGGGTTAATTCTGCTTTATGTGGCTGATCTTTCTCACATTGTAATCCAGCACTGTGCTTACACAAGCAGAAGCTCTGTAAGCTAACACCTAGGACCAGAAAAAAGGCTGCTTTGGGTTTTGGTTGTGGGGTTTTTTTTTTTTAAATGGTGATATTTTAATTTCACAGAGCTAAAATAAGCTACCACTCACACCCTCCAGAACAGCAGAGACTGCCTCCCTATCTTACAGAAGACAAAATAGCAGAAATGCAGAAGGATTTTAACTTAAAGAAGCTAGAAGAAGAAAACACCACCACTGTGCAAGGTAAGACTTGTTACTCTAGTGCACAGCTACCACTAAGAGTCAGTAGTAATGGGACAGTTTGAATGGAAGTCTCTGCAGGTTTGTGGGATAGCCTTGGCAGTATAGAGTGGACATAAACAGTTTAAGGAAAAAAAATAGATGAAGTAGCTGAGCCAAACAGCGCTAGGTCATGCTTAGAAGCACAACTACCCCTGCTCGTTCTTGCTTTCTCCCTGCCTGCGCTGGCCTAGCTTGCACCTCTCTTCTGTGCTTCAATAAAAGCTGTTGTTTCAGAGAMTTCTGCTTTCTGGTAGCGTTTATGTTGAAGTGCTGATGTAGCCCAAGGTAAAAGAGGGGACAGGACAGGGCTGCCTCCCTAGCCCTGAGCTAAAATGGTCTAAGGGACAGACACTGCATCACGTGCTGTCTCCTCCAGTGACTTCAACAGACACCTCCCATCCTTTTCCTAGCTCTGAAGTATCCCAATCTGGCAAGCAGCATCATTTTTCAGTCAGCAGAAATGACAAATGGGACAATAAAGGAAAGTCAGGTGGTAGAGAAAGCATCAGAGCGCATGAATTTGGAAGGAGATGGGGAAGATGATGATGAGGAGGAGGAAGATGAGGAAGAGAATTTCACTGAAAGCGATGATGATCAACACAACATGGAGGAAGAAGAGAGCATTGAAGAGGTAAGTCAGGGTTTCATGAAGCCTCCATCTACCCCGAGACCAAGTCTCCTATCGGCATCCAGCTGTAAACTAAGACCATGTAAACACTGGAGCCACTGCAAGAAAGTGCCCAGTTCTTCTCCCAAATAAACGAGTTGGGATTTCTTTGCTTAATTAAGGAAAACCATAACTTGGTTCTGGTCAGTGCTACCAAATAAAACACAAGGTGTTCCTCAGCTATGTCARTGGAGATGTGCACCATCAGTACCTCTTTCATTTGGACATCACTGTTTGTTTTTGTGCAAGGATACTTGCACTGTTGAACTCTGCCTTGTTCTCCTTGTCATAGGAGGACAACACTCATGTGATCAGGAAGGCAAAGCTTGAAACACAACAGCCAAGTGCCACAACTCCAGAAACACAGACAGCAGCAGGTCTGTATTAAAAACCTGGGCCTTGGAAAATAACCTCTAGGGTTCTTAGCACTTGCCTTGGTTTCATTAATAGATTAATTTTCTTTCCCCCCCCCAGCTGACAGCCATTCCAATGCACTACCCTTCATCATGGATAAGGCAGCAGATGATGATGCCTATGACTTTAATACTGACTATGTTTAAGGAAGAATGGACCAAGATGTGGCTTGAGCCTCTTCCTGGTGTTCAAAGCAGTAATAAGGATGCCTGGTATCTTAGCAGAAGTTGGATGAAGGCTGGATACCAGTATTACTGCAAAAACTCAACATTGATACTGTGTGAAATACTGTATTTAATAGTCTGTCTCCTGTGATACCTTCAGATTTTATATRTTTCTGGGAACTGAGCCCTTATGCAGCTTTAAGTCTTATACTTTAATTCCTGTAAAAGAAGAAAAATCCTAATAATAAACTGAATTAGTTGGTGTTCTGTGCTCATTTCCAAAAGGCTAATCCCTTTGTCTACTTCTGTGACAAACTGTGATAAATGCATAGTTCCAATCATGTCTGAATTCTCCCTTCATCCTCCCTCCATCAAATGTAATTATTTTTAAAGGCTTACACCTTTTGCGCCACACTAGACTTTGACATCCCTTAGCTTTAGCTTAGTTTATGAAACTAGAACTTTCCTACATGAAGGTCAGCTAAAAAATACACCTTCAGTGTAGCAGAAGGTATTTGAAGGTATTCACTTAGTACTTACAGAGATTATAGCTTCACTGGAAAAGGTAATGAGGATTATAGAAGTAGCAATCTGTGTCGTTGTTCTGGTAATTTTGAACTGAAGCGGTGTGTACTGATGACACCAATTTTAAATGCTAACAAGTGGCAAGGTTAAACCAAAGCCCCTTCTTCACAGGAAGGAAGGGGTGGTTTAGCACTTCACCTCTAGTAAGCTGTATTTGAAGGCACAGCCCTAGCATGCACTTGAAAATATTTACTAAGAACTCTGCTGTTTAGGTAGTCCAGTTAGTATCAGCTGACAGAGAAGTAGCCTTGCATGATAGTAACTTAATTTATTTCATTACTACTAACCCATTCGAGGTTAATAAGTGCTCTTAGGCATCAAGAGCCAAAAAGAGAAGAGATAGACAAGAAACTGAACACRGCACCAGAATCTCTGAAAAAAACAGAACTATAACCAAGAATTATAAAATGTCAGGAATTTTTTAACTAGAAAATCCTTTTAAATTATAGATCAGTACTAAAAGCACATATAGACACAAATATGCCCTTTAGCTCTTGGTTGCCCTGTATCTCAGCCAGTCTCTATTCCTCATCATTATTAATTAGAGCTTTTTTTTTTTAAACATCTTATGCTTTTTTTGAGGACAGCGTTCACAAGCAGTAATAGAGTGAATAAGATCCCAACCTGAGTTCAACTCTCTATTAGATGGAATAGCTGGCACAACAGCTACTAGGATATATCAGCTAATTAACAATAAGACTATAACTCTTTAACAATTACTTACCTATAGAAAAAAGGGTGCTGGGCAGCAGGCTGCAACAGGGCACTGCCCTCCGGCTTGAGGAATAAAGGGCAGAGTGAAGCATTTTGGGGCAAATTTATTYAGCAGAACTGTGCTCACCTGAGTGTCAATTAAGAGTAAACAGCAACATTAATCTGTAAGTCATTTCACCTGAGCCAAAAGTAAACAGACTTGGAATGAGACTGCCTCTCAAAGCTGAGAACAACTGACTTCAGCTTCAATCTCCTTGTACCCTAAGTGCAATGGAAACAGGCTTCCACTATCACACCAAATTCATAAAGAGACTGCCATTTAGCTGAGATTGGAGTCCAGATGTTAAAATTAGCTTTTATTTTTGGAAAAAAAAAAAAAAAAGTTCTCTCCACAGCTTTACACAAAGTGTTTTAGCATTYGCTGGCAATTAAAACCACTCCATACTGAAATCATACTTGAAAACTAACCAAAAGCCGACTCATTTTTTTCAGAAAGACTTAAACAGAAATATATGAGAGGAATCCTCACACAAGGTAGTACTGCTGAGTAAACTGTTTCACAGGAAAAGAAAGCAAGAAACATCAATAACAATAATAACAACCAAAAAACAGCAGCTCTGAATTACAGTACCTTACTGTGCAAGACTTGCATGGTGCAAGCAACCTGTTCTTAGGAACTGTTTGTTTCGGGAGGTGACAAGAAAAATCCTAGAGGTTGTAAAAGATTGGGACTGGAACAGAAGAACATACAATGAACAAATGAACGAACACATAAACTAACAAAAGTGCTAAGTTCTGGAGATGTTCCTTTGCTTTCCAAAGTGCTGCTGGAGAAACATTTTCAGTCACACAGGCAAAATGAGGCTTCTTTGGAACCACGTATTTTGGATCACGAGCACTACAGCTGCCTAAGCGCATCTCTGTGTGCTCGAGAAGGCAAGCTTCAGAATACAAGTTGGCCAAAAAAAAATAATACCTGCTCGAGTCCAAAGGTTTCCTGAGAACTGCCACCAGTTACTACAATTGCTTCTACTTGGCTTCATAGGCTTTGGAGTGCCTGCGAAGCAGGTTGAACTTGCCCGTGGGGTCAGGGATGTACCACCTCTCCCAGACCTCGGCGTACGAAGCCGTCCTTCCCCACGGTTTGAAGTGGCCGTTCCAGTGGAGCAGCTTGGCAGCCTTCACAAACTGAGGGGAGTATCTTTTTCCAGCACTAGACCCTGGGAAAAGGTAGCAGGAAGACCAATGTGCTATATTTGAACTTGGATTTTTAAAAAAAAAAAAAAAAGAATTTCCTGTCATTTATGGAGCAAGGATTTGGTCTGTGGGGCAAACTGGAAGACATGCTGGGGTGCAATTAGCTGCTGCTGTRATGGCTCTCAGAACTAATCTCTTACTGTACTGCTGCACCTTCCAAGCTCTCTTAAAACACTCCCAGGGTGGCTCTATTCAAAACCAAGGAAGTCGCTTTCCAGCATCTTGAGTTTTACCAGCAGCAAAACAGATACAATGTCTCTCCTCTGAACAAGCTAGGAAGAAATATCTAGGAACACTCCGGATACAATATATATGTGGGGAAAAAAAGGGCAACTTGGGAGTAAGTCCATTCAAGGGYGAGCAGTTAAGAAAGCAACCAGAGGATCGGCTGCACTAGCTCCAAGGTGATACTGCAAAGCAGATTGTGTCTTAAAGCACRGAATATAAAGAACAAAGATCCCCTGGCCACATGCTCAACCAAAAGCCCGGGTACAAATCTGGAAAACACATTAGGGGAGAGCAAAGGAAGGATCCCAAATGTTTCACACTTACCAAGATGCCGGACGTTCCACATGGGATCAATGCTGGAATGTTGCTTGTAAAACACGATGAGCAGCGGGGGGGTCGTGATGCTGCCTGCCAGAGTCCGACTGTACAGCTCCTCTCTTGAAGGGAAGAGACAGAGACACTGGCTAAGGGTACAACCCTAAAGCAGCACCACACGTGTAGCTGCAAACACCTACACAGCCTTTCATCAACAGTTAAACACCATCTCCTCGGCCCAGGCTGCCCCACTTTGGGAGCACTTACGCTACGTTTAGTGTCATCCACTTCTCCAGCTGCTTGGTGATGTTCTGTAATTTCCATTCGGTCAAGTTGGCAACAAAAACTCCTGGGTTGAAAGAGCAGGTGCTGGCTTTCATGGCAAGCTTTCGGATGGTTTCTTTCTTGTAATCTAGAAATCCAATGTAATTATACTGAAAAAAAAAAAAAAAAGTAGAGATTAATTTTAAATATCACTAAATTATCATTTAAAGAATTTTAGTTTTACAACTCCTGACAGCCCAGCCCTAAAACTGTTAAAGCAACTATCTCTTCCTTTAATGCATCAGAAAGTGCTTAGATGCCAAACATGATTATAGAAACAATGCAATTAAGGAACACTGCCTGTTCTTAAYGTCTACAGTCTGAGACAATCAATACCACTCCCTGAAAAAACTCCTTTATACACTCACAGATTAAAAAATTACCTCTCCATTGTTCAAGACCAGCAGCATTACTAGCATAAAGCGCAGAATAATTGAAAACACTTTTTGTGTGCCTCACTAGAGACTGCAGGTGTAATTTGTAACACAAATACCAACTGAATGGAGTAGGTACAGTCAGACCTCTATGTTCGCTGCATTTGGAAGACAACCTGCAAACAACCAAGCACCCATTTCCAAAAGGCAGGAATCCACACTTTTGTTACTACTGAATCTGAATGAATCCAACCTGATTCCCAGCTCCGTGAACAGCAAATTTATTAGTGGTCGAGTCACAATCATCTGAAAATGCAGCTGCATGTCCAGGTTTCAGTGGGGTGTTGTAAAGTTCAAGAATATCGTCTGAAAAAAAATGAAATAAGCACAGAAAAATTATAAGCCATCCTCCTGCATGGAGTTGAGGGGGCTTTCTGCTCAGTCCATTCCTATAGATGATAAAAGCAGTTGGTTTAATCCAGTTTATTCATATTTACAGAGTTTTTACACCTTTCTTTGAAGCCGAGATGTTTGTTTGCTGTCTGAGGCAGCGTCCTGACCCCAGCATAGACAGGAATAAGACTGACAAAGTAAGGAAGGTCCCCATACCTTGCACTATGATATCGTCGTCCACGTAGATGGCCTTCTCTGCATGAGGCACCAGACTGGGCAAGTAGAATCTTGCAAATGTTAACTGTGAAAGCAGGAAAAATTAAGGAATTGTTCATATAAATGTGAAGCTGACTGATACTCTTGACACTTACCTATGGTACTAATGTTCAAGAAGTAAAATAGGCAGCAGTATCCTAGGGGTTGTTTAAAACAAATACGTTCCATCAAGTTAATCAAGCCCAGTTTCCTAAGAACTTGTGYGTTGATAAATTGACTTTTAACTCTCATCTACGTTGTGATTTTCTACGTCTGCGTATTTCTGGCATGTTTGGCAAGCAAGCTGCTATGTCTCACTGTAGAAATTGGCAAAAAATATTACTAAGAGTTGTATCTGTAGATGCTCAAAATTCATCTCTCACTATCTGAAAGTTTACTTCTAGTGTAGTTGTAGGAATTTGAAAATACAAGATTTCTTCTGCAGATATCTGAAGATTCCTTCAATTCCTGTCGAATTCAAAAGCCAAACATGCTTAAGATGTTTGGAGATCTTAGAGATCTCCAAGATATTGGAGGCAGTCATCAACATTTGTTGTTACTAACTACTATTTGCCAAAAGGAGCTCAGAGCCTCACCGGTTTCAAGGTGTCTGCCTTTCCAGAGTCCACTTGCACTTTCCCTTCCAAGACACGTGGGTCAAAATGCAAAATTTGGTATTTCAAATTCTTCAGAGCAGTGTTACTCAGCCACAGCCTGTCAACAGCAGAAAGGCAAAGATTCTGTTGAATGAAACAAAGCCAAAGAGAAGCCWGTGATGCAACCCTTGATCTGGGCAATCGTTTCCCTAACAAATATATGGATTCCCTGGAGTCTAAGTCTTCATTTCAGTGGTGTCCCTTATGAATGTGGGGACTTGCTGAGTGYGGTGACACATGAGCACACGTGACAAATTCTGGGCAAAGCATCTTTATGCTCAAGTTTAACAGTATCATGGGAGTCTAATGAAAAAATCATTACCTCAAGTGATCCACGGTATCATTGAGAGTAACAATATAGAAAACCACGTTGGATCTGGTGTTCTGGTAGATACTGTTCATGGCTGCAATTGCACCGCCGAGCCTCTCATCCGACGCTGCGATGACCACGGAAATCTCCTTACCATTCCTCCCATCTGCCAGCCTCTGGGGAATCGCTGGGATGAAATCTATAGGCTGGAGTCCTAGTGGGCTCGAATCTGCAGAATAGGATTGGCATCATATATTGGTGCATTCATATTCATGCAAAATAGAATACAGTAGTGATTACTATGTTAAAATTCACCAYGTCCCCAAATATTTTCATATGCTATTCTATATTCCACAAATATTCTACTYAATAGGTCTAGTTACTAGAATAAAGAAAGGTATCCTGTGAAGCAGAGGATCCATCGTTATCACACATGCCGCTTCTGTAGCACAGTGGTTTGTGCCTCACTAGAKCAAATCTTTTCCCTTTGGTCTTAAAAACAAACTAAAGAATAAAATGAAAGCTCAGCATACCTGACAATTCCCGTTTCAAGAAGTCGCTGAGGCCTAGGAGGTTGTGATGAAGAACTAACAGAAATATAACGAGCACCACTATGAGGATGGAAATATTCACTGGAAATGGAAAAAGGGGGGGAAAAAGTCTATTAAAATAAGCAGAAAAGCTGGGGAACGCCGAAAATTACAAAAGGGGTAGAAACAAATCACACACACATACCTTTCCTCAAGGTCATTTTCTCCTTGGGGTTTTATTCTTTAGTAAAGGAAGCTTTTCTGTGGATCTGGAACAGAAAACAGAGGYCAGTCACCTGCGGTCAGGGCTGTTGGAGCCCATGGAGAGCGCGGAGCCTTCTCCTCAGCRGAGATGGAAACTGCACAACGAGCCTCAATAACCCGTGGCTACCTGGAGACCTGCCGCTCTTCTCAGTCCCTTCATTTACATGGGAAAAACGCAAATCCCTTTGGTTGCAAGGGATGGGAAACGACTATGGGGAGTTATGGGTGGGCTCCTTGGTCCAGGGCATGGATTGCGCTGGACACGTCCCGGCCAAGAGGGACGCTTCGTCCCGTGCTTCCCTGCCGGGGGTTTCGGCAGCTCGCAACCCACGGAGGACTTTAGGGAAGGGATTATTGGGGTCTCCCCCGCGCGGCTCCGTCCCACGGAACCCCCGGCGGGGCGGGCGGAGGCGGCACGGCCTAACGGCTCACGGCGGGGCGAAGGACGGAGCCGCCACCGTGTTAGAGAGGGGGAAATAACCGTCCCCGCGAGGGGATACCCCCGCTGCCACGTTCGTTACTCACCCGTTCAAACCCACCCGTTATCCAACCGCCGCCAACCGCCACCTCGGCGGCCGCCAACGGCCCCCGCGCCGCGGGGCGCCCGCCGCGCTGCCTGAGGCCCGGGGGACACCGCGGGCTTGGGCTCGGCCAGCGAGGCCCCCCCGCAGCGGGACAGGCAGCAGCGCGGGCGCCTCGCGGGGGCCTGCGGCGGGCGGGGCGGGGCCGCTCGGGCAGCTCCGCGCTCGCCGCAGCGGGGCCGCCGCCATGATGCTGGACGCGCTGCGCTCCATCCCCACGCAGATGGTAGCGCCGCCCTCGCCCCCTTCATCGATTTATCCGCTTGTTCACTTATTGATTTATTCCTTATTGGTTTACCGTTCGCCCGCCCGCGGGGCCCGGCCTGCCCGCGGCCCCTCCGAGGAACGGGGACCCCCCCCCCCCCCGCATCCCTTAACGGGAGCGGAATCCACGCAATGGGTTGCGATAAAACTGTTATATTCTGAGTATTGAAAAAGGGGATAAAAGGGTCCTTTTTGACCCCACGCCTCTCTTTCCACAGGACTACAAGGGCCAGAAGCTGGCAGAGCAGATTTTCCAAGGAATCATTCTGGTCTCTGCAGTAAGTATGCTAAAATTGTGGGGAATAATCAAAAAAAAATAAGCTGGTTGTGKTCCTGGGATATTTTTTGGGGTAATCTGGCTTACCTGGGTCAGTTAAAGCTCTAGACAAAATCAGGGGGGCTGCAAGGGAATAAGGATCTGCCTCTTTCTGTGTTTTCATTTCGTTATTGACTCCCAGTGCTGAAAACATTAAGACGACCTGGAAATCTGGTGTTTAAAAACCCCAGATCTTCTCAATTCTTTGCCCTCTCCCAGCCCAACTAGCTTAATCACAGCGCACCATCACATAGAGCTTGTTTGATAGTATGTCTAATTMTTCATTTTGTCTTTTTAAGGTCATTGGTTTCATCTACGGCTACATCACCGAGCAGTTTGGATGGACGGTCTATATCGTCATGGCCGGTTTTGCTTTATCGTGTCTGGTAAGGTTGTTTTTATTCAATTTAACCTGAAATGCTAGTGCAGTTAAGGGGCTACCAGCCCAGGCAACTGCCTGCACATCATTCAGATCATTAATAGAGCTGTGGTTGTGACCTGCAGAACATGGTGCTCCTGCGCCCGCCTGGTGTATTCTTTACAAATGCCTGCTTACCTCTTGTCAGCCACTAGTCACATTTCGGACAATACTGCAGTTTAATACTGCTACCAAACACTGAGTTGTTCCTGCGGCTGAATGTTCACGGAAGCCAGACTGGGAGCGTTGACAGGGGTGCTTTCTGTGCAGTAGTGACTGCACAAAACACTTACCCGGAGTCCTGACCAACTGCTTCAACCTCGTCCTTTCTCCCAGCTGACGCTCCCGCCGTGGCCCATGTACCGCCGCAACCCTCTCAAGTGGCTGCCCGTCCAGGATTTGGGAACAGAAGATAAGAAGCCAGGTGACAGAAAGCCAAAAAGGCACACCAAAAGCTAAAAATTTTTTTTTTTTTTTTTTTTCCATGATGTTACAGTGTAGCATTTGGCTTTATTAAATTTTTATTACCTTTCAGCTGGGACATACTTTCTGGTATAATGTGGTTTTTTTGTTTGTTTTTTGCCTTGTTGATTTATGAAGAGGCCAAGACCAGAGCAAAAAGGCTCTGTAAATTTGGTTGGTGTTTCCATGAAGTCACAGGGAAAGGAGGGGGGTGATAAAAAGCTATGTGAGGTCGTTATGTCACTCCACTCTTATTGAAAAAGGACCACTGGCCTAGAAAGCATTAAATCAAATGTAATTAATCTGTTGCCATAGCCTAAAACATTATTATAGACAGTTAAACTTGTATTAAAATAACTTGTCTGAAGTATCAGGAGTGACAGGGTGTCACAAGTCTTGTAAAATAGCACATAACTCCCCCATTTCCACCCTTTGCCCCAAATCCCAGGTTTGAAAAATGTTAAGAACTGGGAACTGTCCTAGGAGATGGCTAAAAATCAACTCGTGTGTGCAGAGAAAATAACTTCCTAACTTTGCATAATAGAGTAGCTATATTATTACATATATTGCTGCATATTACAGGAGCTGCAGCTCCTGAAGCTGTTGAAATTGAGCATTCAGCTCTCAGAGGCAGCAATGTTTGCACCTTTTGACCCTGCCTGTCAGTTTAGGCTTTAGGCTGCTCACATGGGGGCTGGAAGTAATAAAAAGAAAGAGACAGGGTGTGGTTTTAAAAATTTATTTTACAAATTCGTTTCCCTTCATGACTTAATTATGCTTTCAGAAGAGCCCTTCTTCCTTCTCACTATAGATGTTACATGTCAAAACCTAGATGGGGTTACTACCCACACCTAATAAAAGTGCAGGGCCAGGGAAAAGCTAAGACAAACTTAGCTGACCGACTAGTCCTGCTCAGGGCCACTTTCATCCCTAAAAGGCATCAGTAGTTGGAAGGGGAAGGGGTGTGATCCAGCCAGGATGTAGGAAACCAGGGCTACATTCATTTCAACCCCATTGAGGCTTCTTTCTAAGTGCTTYTCCCCCTCTTTGCAAGGGTCTCAGCAGTAAAGCACAACAGTTACAGCCAAAGTCACTGTCCTGGAGTGTTTTCACAGTGTTTTTTAGCAACCTCCTTTAGTGTTTTCAATGYAGGGACTTTTGGTGTGCAAAAACCTGCAATTCTTTCCTGGTCACAGACAGYTGATGCAGTAGCTTATACCTTAGCATGCTAGAACCTTGGTATACGTTTCTGTTGCTGTATTTAGGATATCACCTTACCAAAATGTTTTAGCTATGACTAATTGAAACCAAAACATCATTTTTTGACACTGCTTTCTATGCGAAACTTTGTCCATTCATCCTCATGTCTATAAAATAAGCTTTTCTAAAGTTTCATTAAGAGAATAATAACTAAACATACAGTTCCTCTTCTGAGGAAATGATAGCCAGGTTCACATTTTAACATGGAAAATCTTATTTCAACTAAATCTGTAACATTTTTTCCAAGCTTGCTCCCTTTACTCCAAGAAAGGAGGTCAATGAACAGACGTGCTTCGTATGCTGGTCCAGTCTTTTAAACAAGCTATAAAACTGTGTTCTTCCCTCTAAGGGAAAAGTGTTAACCTGCTCAGAACTTCACATTTTCCTCGAGGAATTTCAAGTGACGCGCCTTCACGCTGTAGCTTGTGTACTTCTCTCCCATATGTTCCCGCAACTGCAGCTATTTAGAATACAAAAGAAAAAAAATTACATTAAAATAATAAAAACTAGCATGAGTTACCAAAATATTAACAGGAGAGCAGCTAAGCACTCAGCTGGAAGCATCATGTGAAGTTTGATCACACAGATGTGAGGGGAGATAAATGGAAAAGGTCACTGTCGTCTCGTGGCAAGAGATGCTCTGAATCCCACCTGACCATTGTAAATGCAAGTCAAATCTTTACTGGTTATGGTGTATATAATATATGTACTAATATATATACACACTTTTTAGAGGTCGAGGCTTGCACTATTGTATCAATATCTAGAACGGAGGAAAAAAAAAAAAGCAAAGACTGCTCATTTATTTGAGTTTATAAGAAATTAAACAATTTTAACATGTAAGACATTCACCTCTCTCTTCCCTTCATCATCTTCCTCCAGGATGCTGTAAACTTGCTCGAGAAGTTTCACTCCCAGTCCGTGCACCACATCAGATCTTAGGATTTCAACCACTCTCCTAATCTTTTCAGGACCTGACAGCAGACCTGTTAAATCAAGAGCCATTAATAGTTACATGCAGGATAATCCCCTTTCACAGCCCATGCCTGAAAAATATGGGCCAGCATTTTAGATATCACTAAAACCTCCTTGGAGATGGTTTATATGGATCAACAAATCTACCTGGTTTTGCAAACAGATTTGATTSTTGGTGTGGGCTAAATTAGCTAACGTAAGATCTGCAGGAAGATGGACTTCTACAACCCTCTAAACTTCCAGTGTGTTTAAATACTGGCTTGTGCCTCAAGTTCAATTTCAGCTTTAACCATCACAAAGCTCCATGGTTATCAAATCAATTGGATGCCTTAAAAATCTTCCTTTAAAATAATTCTCAAACTGTTCATTTTGAAGCTTTTGCCTTTCATTTTGCAGTTGACTGCCTTCTGTTGTCCACTAGCAGGTTTTCTTTGGTGAGCAGCACCTGGCCAYGACTCATTTAAAAGAGGGATCAGAGCAACAAACCTGAGGGAAACTCTTCAAATCTGAATTCCTCTGATTCATCAGGTGATTTTCCATGCAAAATCAAAGTGTCTCTGTATTTTCTGTGAAGTTTAAACTCGGAGGCGGAAGGTGAGGTTACACAGCACTCGGAATTCTCCTTAGAGTCCATTTTCAGCGTCCACGTCATTAGCTGCACCAAATCATTCATTTCATTCACGCTGCTTTTCCTGGTAGAGGAGARCCAGAAGCAATTCAGTGACACAATGCAATTGCAATCTCTCACTCAAAGGCTTTTCAATAAATATGGGGAGCTCCTGCTAAATATTTCACAGTAAACTACCTTTGCTGTTCAGTCTCATCAATATCAGGAGTATTTCCTCTGATAAAGGTTCAGTGTCTAAGCATCTAGCAACAACTCCCAACTCTTATCTGCTGCCCCATACAGCAGAGAAAAATTCTTGCACTGTATTAAACAAAATCCTTACTTCTCCTTGGAATCGCCATCAGATTTATCCGTGGAGCTTGTGGAGGAGCTTAACTCATCATCAGACAGGGAATGGGTTCCTCTTTTTTTCTAAGCAAAGAGGGAATAAATTACTTCTGGGAGCTAGGATTTTTGTCTGTTACCTGTATACCATAAATTACTTCTCTTACATGGAAAAATACTTTTCATCAAGTATACTTTACTTGATAGACTTRATAATGTTTTAAAGGTACAACTTGGTTTTAAATACAAGCTAATAYACATCACAACATGAACATACTTTTACGACCTGCTTGTTTAGCTAGTATTGCTTCTCAATCGTGCAGTTTTGACCACATACACACACAAAAAATGCTTTACCAAATGTCTCTATGAAAAACAATTAAATTGGTTGTATTTATCAATTCTTACCTAATAATATGATAGAGCCACTATCCTTAGCCCATCTATCAGTCTTTATACACACTAGTACGTACTAAACCGATGTGACTTCAGCTTATGAGTGCAGATGAGGTTTCTGCATTTAGCTTTTACCAGTTATAAGCATATACATGTAGGTAAAACACGCAAAACTCTTTCCACGCAAGTGCTGAGCTGAGGACAAGGCAGCTTATACTTTGAAAATTCTTTCACTATTACTTCTTTGCGTCTATTGTTTATTAGTAATGTTTCCTGATGCTGCAGAAGATCTCACCCTGATGTTTGTGATCTTCAAAAAGATCTAAATCTTTAAAACTAGGCAAGGAAGATAATACTAACAGAAACTATTCATTTTTCGCCTAGCATCTATTCCTTAATGGCAGCACATAAACGTATGCACTTAACAGGACTGCAGTTTGAAATATATTTTAATACACCACTACCAAAGCAAAATTAGATGTACAAAGCTAAAGGTAGTGCGTAACTTAAAACAGACTATTCACTTTTAACCAAAATGCAGTTCAGGGCAACAGAACTGTGTTTTCCCCCACACCCAAACAAATAATCCCTTCAATTCAGAGAGACTGAAACAACCAGCTCCCTACGAGACATCCATATGAGCCTTCATCTCTGACAACTGGAGTGAAAATGGGCAGCAAGTCCTGAATTTTAAACTGATCTAGGTGAATCCCACAGTCTAACCCAGGTTTTCTAAAGTAATATCTGTCAAGAACTGTACATTATTTCTGACTGAGAAGTTCTTACACATACAGATTTTTTAATACAGTTTTCTTCTCCAAATGTGTCTGCATTTAAATATTTCAAAAACAGATGACCCCAGTTTACCTGAGAAATACTGGGATCTGATGAGGCCTGAGCAACTTTTATATGATTTTCCACATGTGATTTTGCTTCGACTACTGCACTATTTGATGCTCGTCTTGCTGGAGCCACTGAAAGGATGACATTTTTACAATATTTATAATTTAGCTGCATGTATCTTGAATTAGTTTCGTGTTCATGCAAGAAAAGGTCTATCACCTGGCAGAAGGCAGGCGGTAGGAATTCTGCTAACAGAAAACACTGACGCTTCTATCTGAAAGGTGCAAATCCTGCGCTTCACGTACATTTCAAATAGAAGTTGTCACCACTAACCACAACCGAATACAACTGAATAAGAAGTAGAAAAACACGAACACGTTAACAGAAAATTTTATTTAAGACCAGAACAAGGCCCTTAGTGCAACTTTTTGAGGAAGTTAGTGAAGAAAAAAGAATAAAGAGGGAGTTAGCCTTTCTTCCCAGAGAAGCTACTAGTCTCCATATATAGAATATTAACATGTAAACATAAAAATTACCAGCAGGAAACATCTCTTCCTGAGACTGTTTTAGCCTCCTACGCTCTCTTGCTGACAAGGGCCGCTCCTTAAAAATAAGTTAATTTGATGTTAATTAGCAATTGTCACCATCACTTTTGCTACCTATTGCCTATGAAACAAAAAATTTCTTAAGGTGAACATGCAAGAAAAAGCTACTAGGGTAGATSTTCCACCCAGCTAACAAATGCTGCATGATTTACTGAAAAAAAATGTTCCTGGACAATAACACAAACAATAAACACTGCAGAACAGGCACTTCTGAGCTGCCTGTTTCAGCAAGGAAGCCTCCTATCCCGCACTAATCGGATACGGGACATGACTTCCATTAGATGGAAACATGTTCTACATCTTTTCACTTGCTGTGCGTATTTTTAGGGAGCAAAGTGTTCAGAAACAACAAGAGACAAAAACATGCTTACAGAGCATTCAGCACTAACCTTTGCAATGGCGACTTGACTGTTCTTGGTGCTATTCACAGATCCAGAGATTTCACCATGATGCTCTGCACAGCTCTGTGTTGTCTTTGCATTCCCATCGGATGGAAAAGGTAAAGGCCGGGGAGCACCAGCTCTGAACTTGAAAGACAAGTGAGCAGAATTTATATCCTCTTGCAGTAAAAGAATTTGCACAATTTACAAGTCACATTCTTGCACAGCAAAACTAGATGGAGTGTTGCGGGCTCCTATTGTTACCTCTCTCCATTTCAACCCTCCTCTCGTTTCATGCACACGAAATGAGAACAGTATATAAAATATATATGTATACATGTTTTATATATGGCTTAAGGACTCGCACAGCCAAATTCTTATTTTATTTGCACCTTTTCTGGACAAACTTCAGCCAACTCCCTTTTCTTCTGCCRTCGCTGCCGTGAGAGCGAGGGTTCGTGGACAGAGCTATGAGGCTGTAAGGGAGAGGCATTTTTTTCCCTCAAGTCTCCTGGAGTTCCATGACAGACGTCATCCTAACAAGGAAAATTATTTTTCAAAATGTAGGCATGCCATTTCTAGATTTAAACATATATGCTTTTTACATTATCAACACAGGCCACTTTATTTTGGTTGTAATGGTGATTATATTAAGGTAAATGTAGCCTGAATAATAAACAATAAACTCTTACTCTGATAGCCCTTTTAAACTACCAAATCTTTAAATATTTACTTGAATTACAACGGGAACAAATGGTTCTAGCAGCTTTTCAGCAGAATCCAMATTCTGCAATGGATAATGATTACTCATCAGAAAACAACCAAATGCTCATTGCAGAAAATCTCATTGCAGATCAGAAAAATGAAAAGAGAATCATCATCTAAAGCAAACTGGCTTCATAAATGTGACTGCAGAAGTGACACAGAACAGATACAAGACCTTTAAATCCAAAGCACAAGATGTGAGCAGAAGGGTCAAATGTACAACTGACATTTTTGGGATACGTAACAGGAGAAAATAATACAATATATTCCTTGTTTTCTTAGTAGACCCTTGTAACACTTGAGGACAAGGGCACAAGGGAAAAAAGCCAGTGTTTCTGAGCCAACAACTATCAAAAGGAGAATAAGCACTACAGCTATCTAGGCAGAAAGCAGTATTTCTTTAGAAATACTGTTTTCTCAAGTTTCCAACACAAACAGTGAAAGAATAACTGGAAACTAAAAGAACAACAGGAAGAAAACTACCTTTGAGATAYGGGAAAGCAAAGGAGAAAGTAACACATTTCCATATTACTCTTCTCCTCTTTTTTTTTTTTTATATCCCTCTCCCCATCATCTGTCTGCCTTCAATCTCTTCCACTCCTCCCCTTTCCCTGCCCCCAAACCATTCTTGCCCTCTCTCCTCTCAGACATGAAAGATTTTTGTTATTGTTTTCTGTAAGAACAGCATTCTCACTATCCCTAAAATCCACAGTCCATTAGCTCTGCAAATTTGAAACTCAGCTTCATAATTACTTAAATATCTCAATAATTACATCAACAGTATCTGACTTCGATAGATAACCATTAAATGCATCAGCCCTGCATATTTTAAGAGCTGGCCATTAGCTAAGTCTATTTTAAAGTAGACATAAGCATTACCAGGTCATTTTGCTTTGGGGTTTTTGATATGGGCTGCAGGAGTTTCAAAGTATCATCACTATCTGTAGCAGCATCAACATGGTCTGTAGCATCAACAGCAGACTGCTTAGACTCAACGTTTTCAGCTTTAAAAGCCTGCTTTGTTTTTTGCTGTAGTCCATCTTCTTTACTTAATGATCTGCTATATGTTGGTTTAGAATTCCCTGGATCATTTAAATACTTTGCTTTATTATCCTCTGGAATATGCTCACTGCCACACTTCTCGCTTCCATATGTCCTCTTTTCAGATGGCAAGATATCAATATCCACTTTGCTAATTGTAGCCAAGGAGTCTCCCAGGCTGTTCAAATCATTACTGCTTGGTTTTCTTCCCAACTCAACAGCTGGTTTCTCCGAGGGGCAAAATTTGGTGGCTTTATCCTTGATGATACATTCATTTTCATTCTAGGAATAAAAAAAGAATAAGAATATAAAAGAATATTCTAAGCACATAAGGAAGATCATTAATGTACCAGAGTACATAGACTAGGGAAATTATGATCACTTACAGCTTAGGTTCTTCTGAAATATTGCAACTCATATTTTTAGAGTTGCAGATTGTGTCTGCAGATGACATATTCTAGTATGGGTTTTATATATGTAGTACATCCACTTTTACCCAGGACTACATACATTCAGCATTTCAACAAGAAAAGCTTAAACTCACAATAGAGGACTCATACTACAGAAACTACAGAGAATGCATAAGATGGTAAAAGATCTGCTTATAAAAAATTTGTTTTAACCACAGGAGAGAACCTCAGCAATAAATGTTTTTTCACTTGCAACCATAATTTGTTTTCCAGTCAAAAAAAAAGACTGTTTGCATTTTTTTTAAAAAATAATTACTTCCTGCCATCAAACAGTAACAAAGAAAAATTCATATTCCATGGGAAGTGTGCAAATATTTGTTATAACCATGGTGTACAACAAAGCTCTGTGTGCTAATTCAACCACAAAGGTACATAAAACAATTTACATCGTGGTCTGCGAATAGAGAAAATAAAAGAAGTGTGTTAACACATTTTGGTAAAAAAGCTGCCAAGAGTTTTACTGAACCACAGCTGTTTATTTGCTTGCATCTCTACATAAACATACATCTTCTATTAAAAGGCATTTTACAGGTTTCTAAGAATCAGATCTGTGTTTTGACAAAAGCTCAAGGCATTTTATATAAAATTGAGTAGCTTTTTAGGAAAAGCAGCAGATGCACTTTTTTGGGGGGGAAAAAAGAGAGATRTGTATATATAGACATACACACACACATTTTTATTACATACATATATGTAAGTATGTATGAATATCTTACCACCTTATTTTTCCTAGCGTGCTCAAATGAATGATTTTGGTGTGCAGCATTCCTGTTATGAGATTCATTCTTAACTGAGACTGCAGAACAAGGATCTTTAAGTTTAGAATCCAGTGTTTTCTTATGACTTTTGRCTGTTTTCCTGTAAAGGATATAATAAAAGTTGGCCACTCAGTCTCCAACAACAAGACCTCAAGATGTTTCTTTCATCAATTGAAGAAAAAAACAAAACTAAAAACCACTTCACTAAGCAGTTTACATAATGCTTATAAGACACTGGGCTTTCCCAACAGCCTGTATGCAACATATTCACCTTTAATGCTGTAAAAGAACCTTACAAGCTCTATTCAGACCTGAGCAGCAACACACACGTGTTCTGCACAGCAGCAACATCAGTGTTATCTAAAAGCAGACAAATATTTTGCACAGGATCATTGAAATAAAAATATCTTACGCCTTGGTGGCTTCCAGAAACAACGAGATTTGCTGTTTGATATATGGCTGTCTTAGGATGCTTTTCACACTGGGTCTCTCCTCAGGTTTTTTACTGAGCATAGTTCGTATTATCTCTACCAACTGCGGGCTGTAATCCTTTGGCATGGGGGGCAGCTGTAAAATGAAAGGGAAGAGTGAGACTGTTCAATTTATTTATCAATATTTCTGTAACAACTGTAATATACTGCAAACTGTAAACATATACTGTGAACATATACTGTAAAAATATACTGTAAACAACTGTAATAACAACTGTATTATACCAGGTACATATTTGTGTATATACACAAATGTTTTAGGTCTTTCATGCCTAAATTCATATTAACTTTGCACTTCAATAGRCTAGTCTTACCTAAAAGGAAAATGATGTACATACAAATAGTGACATAATTCTCTGCACAACATTTGAACCAGAAGTAGATGGAGAAAGTTGGAAATTCACTACTGTGAACTACACATTGGGATAACTAGAAGTTCAAGCAGTATTTAACAAGGAATAACTTCCTGGGTGTAATATTACATCGTGTAATACCCTGAAATACCAATCTTAACACATGTACGATGATGCACATCAACATGCAAAACATCACCAACAAAATAAGACACATTCAAGATCTTCKAAAAGTCATCATAACCAGATTAAAAAATTATATATTTTAGGTAAGTTTTTACCTTTCCTTCAATAATTCGATAAACCAAAGAGTTCATRTCTTTAGCATTAAAGGCATGTTTCAACGTAGCCATTTCGTAMACACAGCAGCCCAGTGCCCACACATCAGACTGGGAAAACAGGAAGAAAGAAAGAAAAAAGAAAAAAAAAAGAAAAATAGTCTTATGAGCTTTCTATTAATTGCACAAATTCTACCTCCAAGCAGTCACCTGCTTTTGRACAGGCCATTAATGATAGTAAGCTAAGACCAAATTCCATTGTAAATGTCTGGCTTTGATCTGTATCAACAGYGATATTCGGAAGACAATAGTTTAAATAAAATCTTTCTTTTTTTCATTAGCTCATGCTCCTGCAGATGCCAAGTTTAGGGTGCACGTGGCCTGCAGCAAGAGCTGAGCCAAGTATACAAAATCAAGGTCATTTTAAATTCACAGTGACACTTCTCTTCTGAAAGATTATTTTTTTAACGTTGCTGTTGTGCATTACTTTTGAACACAAAGCTTCTTGTCTGTTGCATAATAAACAAGCACAAACTGTTATTTTGGTTTATGTTGGCATGTCCTGGTAAGCACAGGCAGCCTGCTGAGCACTTTGGCTGCGATAACTTAGCACATGCTCCTAATTCTCACCCAAACTCAGTTCCACGAATTCAGTTTCTCCCAAATCCCTGTTTGCTCGGACTCGGCGGACATCAAACAGTTTTGGAAGCAATAACAACTTTAAAAAAATACACAAGGTGGTAACGCTCTTCCACAAACATAATACTCCAGTTGCCTAACAAAGCAGAATATTTGCTTCAACACACTCTACCTTGTAGTTGTAGGGTTTGTTGGAAAAGAGTTCAGGGCTCATGTAGTATGGAGTGCCGATGAGAGTGCTCGCCATGTCATACTGGTTTTCCAACACCCTGGCTATTCCAAGGTCACCCACCTTGATGATGTTAGTTCGCGTCAGAAAAACATTTTGAGTTTTAAGATCTCTGTGCAGAATGTGTTTTTCATGTAAATACTAAAAAAAAAAAGTGCATAAATAGGGTTAAGCAACACCTGATTGGTTCTTCTCCACTGAAAAGTAAACACAAGTCAAAGAGGGAAAATAAAACACAATAAAGCCATGTATACCACTACGGAAGACAGGAATGACACATCACTGGTGAAGAGTTAGGGAATTAATGCCAGAATGACTAATACAGACACAGGTAGACTGTGTGTTGTTGTTTCACTCAACAGACTCTGTGTTGTTGAGTGAAATTTACCCGTGTGAGATCTTGATTTCCAAGAAAATAGGAGAAAATAGAAACATAAAGTAGCAATGTAAAGTGAAGGCTCTCTGCCTTCAACCTACTCTGTTGGCTTCCATTTCCTGCCATTCATTTCACAGTTTTTAGCATAAAATTTTGGTGGAAAACAAAATGTTGGTTTAGTCTAAATATCTATATATGGGGTAGAATATTAGGCTTAAAATAAACAAAAATAAGATATCACTGTATCTTATCAGATACTTCTGTGTATTTGACCACAGTAGTCATAATCAAGATAGTATTTTCTGTCCAACTGCCTTACGTCTAATGATAATATTTACAGCCAATCTTTTTGAATATAATAATGGTTTTTAAATTTTGATAGGCTCCAAATTATTAGATTCCAACAAATTTAGATAAAACTTAATAGAAAAGACAATTTAGCCACCTAAATTCATCACTGAAAAACACCAACAAAATTACAGATTGTTTCTGAAAGATGTTGTGGCTTTTTAAAGCATTTTGTAAATGTAACCTTAAATTTCAAATAGGAAATGCAGTTCAGACTTGAGTTGGAAAGCCTGTTCTTTACCTAGAAAAGAAAGCTAGTATGATGGTAATGACCAGTGAACATTTTTAATGCATTAACAAATGTTGTTATTCTATAATAACCCAGTCGACTGGAATTTAAATCTATAGACTAACTGTAGCATTTTTATACAAAAAAAAAAAGACCTTTACAACCTTAAAGTAAGCTGTATTTTTATTTTACCTGCAAGGCCATGGCGATCTGAACAAACCATTCCACCACCTGGTTCTCGGGCAGAAGTTTGCCCTTCTGCTCTTTAAGTTTATGATACAGATCTCCTCCTTCACAGAAGCCCATAACAATATATAAGAGGCCGTCTTCTCCCTGCCAGGACTCTCTATAGGTGACTATGTTTGGATGTTTCAACTGGGACAGCAACTGTGCCTCTTGCTCTGCTGCTTTCCTCTCTCGGCTGGAGGCATTTTTGAGGTTTAACTTTTTGATGACGTACTGTAAAAGAAATAACATTAAYATATCAGGAAAAATCCAAGTTAGCACGCAGAAACCCCAGGAAATAACATGTATATATACAGTATAYTTTTATATATCATATTATATATATAGTTTCTTATTCAGGTTTCTTATTCAGTTTCAGCGCCTGCAGCAACAAGCTAGCGTGTTATGCCGACAACATTCCCACAGTGCCCATCCCCGTGCTTTGCTGACATATTTGACAGAAACTATGTGGAAAACACCCCTTTTCTTTCCATTTTAAACCGTTAGAAGCAGCATTTTCTTAAGCAAAGCCAGGCCTGGCAGGCCCGTGGCCACAGCGCTGCCTSCCTCCCCCGCGGGCCGCGCTCGCCGGACCCTGCCGCCTCCCCCGGCCCGGCCGCGGCCTCCCCGGTCCCGGTCCCGGTCTCGGTCCGCCCGAGCCCGGCAGAGGGCGGTACCGCCGTGGCTACCTGCTTGCCGTCGTKCCGGTGCCGCGCCAGGCTCACCTCCCCGTAGCTGCCCTTGCCCACGGCGCGCAGGAGGCAGTAGGCGGCCAGGGGCATCTTCCCCGCCGCTCAGCGCCCGGCGGCGACCGCMAGCGGAGCCCGCCCGCCCGCCGCCGCTGCCATAGAGATGCCGCCCGGGCGCTTTTACCACACGGGCGCCGCGGCGGGAAGCGCGGACCGCCCTTCTCCTCGGTGGTGCCGGCGCGGCCATTTTGGAAGCGGGCGAGGCGGCCATGTTAGGAGCGGGCTGAGGGACGCGTGAGGAGAGTGGCGTTTGRATCCCGCTTCTTGTCGCGGCCGCAAAAACCAGCAGTGTCACCTCAAATSCGCCCTGTGTCCTATAGACCTGTGGATGTGAGAGGGAACAGGGTCAAGGAGCTGCAGGCTGGTTTGAAACGAGCAGTTTGGCCTCCCATTGCATGTTCTTCTCATGGCTGTGCACCTGGAAAAGGCAACGCTGGGAGGAAAAATGGGAATGCCCCAAAGTAAGGAGATAKAAGCAAGAAACAAAGGAAGGAAACACATTTCCCATTTAGTGTGTTCAGCCGTAGCCAGATGGGCTCAACTGCAGGTGGTCACTACTCAAAACTTCAGTTTCTGGTTTATTTGTACATCAAATTACGTTATATCTGAATATGGCAGCATTCTCTTACCCTATATCTTACCTGAATACTCTGCTATCACTGAGAATTTACCACCATGCCCTCAAAGTTTGTGTCTCCTGCAGTAGAGCAGATGAAAGCAGTTAGAAGACAGAGGGAATAAGGCTATAAATGTAATAAAAAAGAGAAAACGAGCACTGTATCCCCAGGCCAGATAGTTATGAGCCAGGACAGGTGTCAAATATTAAGAGCAGAACTAGGGGCTGCTCGTGACAGGTAGCACAAAGGAAAGTAAATGGGTTGTAGATATTAAACCCACTATTACAGCTGCAATAAACTTGAGCCCAGGCCTGGGCAGCCTTGAAGAAGGTACCAGAAAGACAAGAGTTTTAGCCTGGAAAGAGGTGTTGTTCCTGGAGAAGCAAGGTCAGTGTCAGTCACCACAGAAATGGCTCTTGCATTTGGGAATGAGACTCTGCAGCAGAGACATGCCCATATATTGAGCAAGTTTACCCTCCTGCACACCACAGATGTTACACATCCAAAATTCACTATTTGATTTTTTTTAACCCCGCTCCTCAGGCTTGGTTATTTATTAACACTCTGTAAACAAAGTGTTATTTATTTGCCTGTATCCCTCGGATTAGAATAGTTTATTTCTTTTCCAAAATGGAAAAGCATCTATTGCTTTGTCTGTTATTATTGATTCCTGCCTTTGGATCACCAGACTTTTTGAGCGCACGTTTCAGAAACGTCAAGGTAAGTGACCAGCTCTACATGGGGCTCCCGTTCTTGGTGTTCCTGTGAGGTATCAGCTATTGGGGAGCTCATATGATGACATTGAGAGGACCTTCTTGCTTGCTGGGATCGGCAGACACAAAATCAGACCCAGGACTTGATGTTTCAGGCACTTTACTTAAAACCAGCTTCAGTTTTGAATCAGCTTTGATGAAGATCATTACCTCTGGGCTCACTTACCTCCATTTCCTTTCCCATCATCATCATCATCACCTAAATGTAGAGACAGATGCTCTAGTGGTCTTTTATTTAGTCATCTAAAACAGCGAGTGCTGCTAWTGAGCTGAAAATTCCTTGAAAATCAGGATAACAACTGGTTTGAAATCAGCTTGATTTCAAGCTGATCCTGATCAAGCTGCAAATTAGGAATGCCATGGATTTATATGGTTTAACCCTTGTGCAGCTTAGATATAATGTGGTAGCTGTCTSCTCCTGCTTAACATACTATCTTTTGGTCTATGTATTTCTAAATGGAAAACAGAAAAAGTTCTGTATTATAGTCCATCAGTATTTGCTAAAAACACAACGGGAAAGATGGAATTTTCTCCCATGTACGTCACACGTGTTTTATGCAAATATAATTTTGTTGAAATCATGAAGTCACCCTCAGTCCTAATCCCTGTTTTAGTTCCCCTGAGTGGGTAATAGTGATGAAATGTGGCAGGGTCTGGTACGTGGCTGCTCATCTCAACGCTGTCAATGCTACTTTAAAAATTATAGTCAGATAGGTACAGCTGGCAGCTCTAAGTCTGCTGAAACTTGAAAAATCCAAATCAAAATGCAAAAAGCTSCTGTATTTTTGTTTTCTGCATTAAAAACTACCACTAGGATTGTTTATTCAAAGCATGGGTAGCAATGATAGAGCCTCTCTTAAATGACCCTCACTCTATGTGAAGAATCCTACATAGGTCCCACAGGAAAGTTTAGTTTTCCCAATTTAATTGCATTGTGGTCCCGTCTCTAGGATTTCCATTTCTAATTAGCATTCCTTGGGATGTTGCTGTCAATTTGGCACTCATTTTCAGGCTCTACTTTTCCTGCATACACAGGGACATACACAAGTACCTCCTTCACTATTAGGCATTCCTRGAAGTCACTGTGACTTAAAACTGTGTAGTTTCTGCCGAATCTTTTGGTTATATAGTAGTTTGCTTCCTGAACTGTAAAATCAGGACTGCTTTCAGCAGATTTCCTCTTTCTTCAGATTCCTTTTTCCCTTCTCTGTTTTCTTAAGAGCAAATCTCTTTTTTTTTCTCTAGTTTTCTCTCAAATTTTTACATATTGCTTGCACTCATAATTGTCACTGTTGCTGTTAACAAGACAATGTTTATCAAAAGCAGAATTTGCCATTGTTGCTGAACTGAAAATAAAGCATTCTAATAGCARATATACTTGTAAGTATGTGGAATACTATAATATATTTTTACCCGATAATTGTAATTACACAAATCATAATACATTAAAATCTCAGTTTGAAAATCTCAGTTTGTTCTAGAACTGCAGAAAGGAGAAATGAAAAGGCTAGGACCATAGAGAAAGGAGAAATGGGGTCAGTAGGGAAGATTATTTCAGTTTTGGAAAGGAAGGATTTGAACAGTAGATAACTGTACAGAGACTTTGAAAAAATAATGAAAAAAGCAGGAAAGGAAAGAAATGAGAGATAGGTACAGATATAAATCACTAGTGTGGAGATAAGTTAGAAATATAAATGTACAAGCACACAGGTTTTTTTGGCCAGAACAACACAAAACCTTATAAATATAATATAAATTCTTACATTGCTATGGATTTTTATATATATCTTGAGGAAAACAAAACCCTCTTTGCCTGTTTCCCACCTGTAAACCTTTTAGCTGCAAAAAGGTTACTGCAGTATTAAAAGGTGCCCGAGATGTATGTCCGATTGGGTATCTCTGTGTATTTGCCCCCCTGGTGGGCTAGGTAAACATGAAAAGCCAACGTTGCACAAAATGCAAACCGTGAGGTTCTTAGAGCCAAAAGAGATAAAACTTTGCCGTTGAACTTACAGGAATTCACTTGGAAACAACAGTCTTCCTGACTTACGTAAACCACTATTAAACCACTATTTTAACACAAGACTATACATCTTATTTTTGCAGAGCTGTCATTTTGCACCTGTTCTGGGAATTAATATAAAAAAAAAAAAAAAAAAAGAGCTTTTTTTCCCCTTTTTTTAAATGCAGTCTTCCATAGAGGCTTCAAGGAAACAACATATTAAGCAGATTTCAGTGTGTTCTGCAGTCTCAGTAACATTTAAATATAAATGACCCTGTACATTCAAACCTTTCCCACCTGATTTCTCAGGCTGTCCATAATTATTTTTCATCTGAAAGGAGAAATCTTCTGAAGTGTCATTTAAGCAAAATGAAAAAAAAAAAAATCACTGTGTTCACAATGTAGCTTTGCTTTCAAGCAAGTATTTAAGGTGAACTAATATCAAATCACAACCAAAAGATTCACTCGGACTGGGGATGCTAGAAGCAAAATAATTTCACCTGCTCTGAACACTTCACTTGCTCTTCCCTCAGATTTCTGCTAGATCTACATCTGCAACCAGACGCAATTTTTACACCTTCAAAATTACATGTGATTTATTGCAGGGACAAAAGAGTGAATCGGGGTTCAGTGTATTAATAATGACCTTTCTGAAGTCTACTCCCTCTTGGAAAATTTCTTTTGACTTGGAAGCAGAAAACAACCCAATAGCTGCTTAGTAATTTATTTTTAAATGTAACAAAATGCCTTAGTCATTAGCTTTTTTTTCTTTTTAAACTCTCTATTTTTTCTCTTGCAGAAGCGAAATGCTGATAATGACTTGGTGAGTAGTGTCCCTTGTAATGAAAGCTTGGTTTTGCTCAGGCTCCTGTGAAGGATTCAGATAACAGTGAGAAGATACTTACTGTGTTTACAGCATGAATGTGTCTCTCCTGGTTGGTAACATTTTGTTAAATAAGCTCTAGTTACGATTCATGGAATAGCATAATCGTGGAAGGAAACATTGCTGTGCTCCGTTCCTTTGGAACATAGTTCCTTTATGCATTGGAATGATAGAATGCCCTACGGTGATTTCTTTTCCAAAAAGTCATTATGTCTGAGTGAAAGACATGAGTGTAACAGTTCTTTTGTTGTGTTTTCAATCCACAGGTTGTCAATGATATAGAAATCTATAGCATGAAAATTGATAGTAAAATAACTTCCCGATTTGCCCGCAATGTCATCACTAGTGAAGCTATCAATCGTGGAAACGTGCACAAAGAAGTCTTCTTCGATGTTGAGCTCCCTAAGACGGCCTTCATTACCAACTTCAGCATGTATGTATTAGCTAAAACACTTCCAGAATACACTCAAAATCTGAATATAACTGTGCTGTACTAGAATGTTAATTTTTTCCTTTGCTATCGATAGATTTCTAAATGTCTCCTGGGCAATTTTTCAGTATTATTAACCAAATGTGCAAGAAATTTGGGGATATTCAAACACTGGTCCWTCTATAGAAAAGATGACCAATACACATCATCATCATGCCCCTAAGGGAATGGGGAATCTGCTCTGGGGATCCATTCACATGTTCATAAATATCATTTATTTTGCTCTAGTGTTATCAAACTTGAAATGTTCCATTACCTAATGTTGCTGATGGCA